AAGTGAGAAAAGGATATTGATGAAATGAGAGAATAGGTTCAAAAGCAGCTAGTGGAGCTGTTGTGAAAATGTTCTAAAAATAAACATTGATAATTTTACTGTGACTGAGAATAAGCTCTAGAATATGCACAACCAGAAGAATTTGGAGATCCAGGTTAAGGGTATTAAAGGCATTAGTTTCAATTGATAAGACCATAAAAATATATTCTGGATTTTGTTTCAAGTTAAAATGATGAACTTGTCTGAAATTTTAAGCTCTCAGTTAGAGGGTTGTTAGACAACATTATACAAAGTGTAATGTGTCTTTAAAGAGGGTACATCGCATATTTGCTAGAATTTTACCTAGTATGAGGAAATACAAAATTCACAGAAAAGTTTAAGAATTTAAATCTTCTGTTATGTGGCACAATGATAGGGAAACATGGTAACAGTGCATTTTGTAAATGACATAGTGCTATAACAGGGTATGAGGCAGCAGACTGTCACATATGGTTCGGTGCTAACACTTTTGTGTCTAAGTTAGGAGGTTGTAGGTTCAAGTCCAACCCTAGTGACTTGAGTACGTAATTTAGACTGTAATAAGGACAGACTGCTGCAGCATCAGTGGTGTCATCTTTCAGATAAAACATTAAACTAGGTCTGCAATGTCATGCAGATGTGAATGTAGATGAACAGGAGCATTTTCCCTTATGTTCTAATCTATATTTATCTCCAAATCAGTGTCATTAAAATAGATTTTTTTTTGTAGCTCCCAACATTCAAGCAGTGACTACAATTCAAAACCACCTCATAGCACTTTACAGGCAATGGGATACTCTGAGGTTGTGAGCATACGTAAATATGTAACTTATTTATTCCAGCTGTTTCTTGATTGAGGTCTAGAAGAAGGGGCCATCGGCACAATGTAAAATTGAAGGAAATTAAAGTAAAGAAAAAGGGAAGTCGTTGAGGTTGTGGAATTAATTCTTGGATCAATGTTTGAAGCAGCAATGACACCTGCATTCAAGTTTAGATTTTGTTGGTGATTAAAGGAAATGAGGCTGAAAGGAAAGGGGAACAAGACTGGTAAATAAAATCATCATTATTTGATTATGTAAACACTAAAATGCTGGTTGGGCCATATTGGAAGTTTTGCTTTGTTTCCTGGGTTGTTAACACCTCTTCTGGTGCTGCATGGGTAGTATTTTTGGATTTATTACATTTGCAATGTATAGCAAGTGTTGATCCGAGTTGCATAAGTCATCCAACATTCCATTCCACTGCAGATTCTCGAGTTAGTAGCATAAATGTTGCGGATGAATAATAGGACAGTTATTGTTGTGAATAGCAATGTTATAGATCAGTATTTAATATATTCGCCTAACCCCATGGATTAGAGATTTCCACCTGAGGTTATTTGCTGTTCCTGTTGTGATTTTTATTTTTAGTGACATTAAAGCATGTTTGAATTTGCATATTTTTTTCTACTGATTGCTGCCATTCTAAATTAACACAGAATTTATAATGTAATAGAATTCAATATAAAATCAGGGATGATTGTTGAACAAATCCATTAAAACAGTTTACTGTTATGTAATTTATTAACTTGTATTGTGTTTTCTTTCCCTCACAGAGTTGTGCAATAGCCAATTCGAACTGGTCTGAATTAGATTTGCTTTTGTTACTTGGGACTTTTGGACATACCCTGAGCCTTGGATCCAGCAGTTTTATAGAAGAAGAACATCAAACGTGGTACTTTCTAATCACCACACTTTTGTTGGTGCTGTTTCAAGATGTCTGCAGAAAATATTTTGCACCCAGTGACCTCCAAGGCAAATCAAAACAAAACAAGAATCCAGAAGACATTGATGGCAATGAACAGCAAACTACTATCCATGGCTTACTCGAAACTTCCAATTGTGACCAGAAAGATGATAAATCCAAAGCTTATACGTGTTCAGGTGAAAGCTATGAAAAGTGGCTGGCCTTACTGACCCCCTGGGTTATCCTTGTGTTTTGTCGGGTACTCCGTTCCCTCAACCAGACTGGGATCAAATGGGCTCACGAACCAGACTTTGGCCACTGGCTGACAAGGTAGATATAGATGTAGTCTTGTATTTTTATCCCTGCAAAACATTGAAATTGTCAGTGGGTAGTACTGTCGCTTCTAACTCTCAAGGTTCAGGTTCCATTCCATGTGCGGGCACAAAACTCAAAGTTGACATTCTAGGACTGCGGGAACATTGCACTGTCAAATCTGCTGCCTTTCAGATGACAGGTTAAATTGAAGCCCCATCTGCCTCACTGGGTAAATGTAACAGATTCTATGGCACCAATGACAAAAGGCCGGGGGACATTATTACTGCTATCCTGACCAATAATTACTCCTTAACACCACAAAAACAGTTTAACTAGTTGTTATCACATTGCTCTTTGTGGGTGTTTTCTGTGCAGATATTGACTGCCATGTTTCATCCTTTACAATAATGGCTACACATCAAAAACAGAAGTTCTTCATTGGTTGAAAAATGCTTTGAGACACCACATGGTCATAGCAAGCTTTGTGTCAATGCAAGTCTTTTTTCCATTTTTTATGATCAACCTTTTGCTAAATAATTTTGTTGCAAATTAGTTATTTTATGTCTAAACACAACAACCAGTAATCACTATAAATGCTGCAATTAAGTTTGTGTGTGTGGCTGTTCAGTGCTTAACAGTATTTTAAACAATTTATTAATCACAAAATCATACAGAAATTACAACACAAAAACAGGCTAAAGCAACCCTTTTTGCTGTTGAACACCAGCCTGCCCTATTCCACATTGCTTTATTCTCCATCAACTGTGTATCTAACTGTTCCCAAATATGATTATGGTTCTGCATCAATCACTAACTCTTGAAACTTGTAAGTGCATAACCACATCTCACAACCCTTTGTGTGAATATAAAAGCTCACCTGCTATGTATTCTTAAATCTCTGGCATTTAAACTTATATGTGTGTCCTTTTTCTAGACTCCATATCACTGTAACTGTCACCTGCAGCAATTTCAACACCATTTGTTATAATTATTGTTGACTATTATTTCTTGCAACTTGTATTTTATATTTTGCTATCTTACATTCCATCTGCTATCATTCTGTGTGCTTCATGGAGTACTCCTCTTGAAGTACTGTGAGCAGATCTGGGTACCATACCTTAGAAAGGATATATAGGCTTTGGAGGGACCATAACATAAGTTTACAAAAATGCTACCTGGACTTCAGGGGTTAAATTATGAGGAGAAGTTACACAAATTAGGCTTGTTTTCTCTAGAATTTAGAAGGTTAAGGGGTGATCTGATCGAAGTCTTCAAGATATTAACAGGAAAAGACAGGGTAGATAAACTATTTCCACTGGATGGGTATTCTGCAGCTAGAGGTGTAATCTGCAAATTAGGGCCAGACTATTCAGGAGAGGTGTTAGGAAGCAGTTCTACACACAAAGGGTGGTCGATGTTTGGAATTCTATTCCATGAACAGCAGGTGTAGGATCACTTGTCAATTTTGAATCTGTGATAAATACTGTTTATTCTTCAGCAAAGATATTAAGGGATATGGCCAGAGACAGGTATATGGAGTTAGGTCACAGATCAGCCATGATCTCATTAAAGGTGGAACAGACAGAGGGGCTGAATGGCCTACTTTGTTCCTATTTTTTATTCTGTTCTTTATTTTGTAACCATCATTCTGTCAATTATAACTTGTTTCATCCAATACAACAGCTCCCTCTAGTTCAGTATCAGACCTGACTGGTTTAAGTTGGATTTTTAACTTCAAATTATTTGTAAATTACAAACTGAAATGGCTGCAACATTGATGCCTGAACTCCATATACTCTTCTAACCATTACATTCTATCACCCCCATTCCAAAATTATTGTTCCAACAAGTACTGATTGTTTTCTCCACCTTGCAACCAGTTTCCCATTGGATTAAACAAATTATCTGTATATCCATAGATTTAATCCTAGCTATATATATTCTTAAATCTAGAACTTTGCTTAATGCTTGTGAAAGGCTTGAGAATAATATGTTGTAAAGCTTCTACAGTCTGTTTAGGTTGTCCCTTCCTCAAAAAATGGTTGGTCAGGCAGGTTCTTTAGTTTCTAATTCATGTTCCCTCCTATTTTACTAATAGTTGGTGGAATACATTTAGATTATTTATTCATTTTAATACAATTTTTATGGAATCAAAGAATCCCCTACAGTGCAGAAAGAGGCCACTTGGCCCATCAAGTCTGTCGCAGTCTCTGAAGAGCATCCCATCCTGACCCAGACCCTCATCCCCATATTCCCATGGCTAATCCACCTAGCCTGCACACTCCTGGACGTTATGGGGCAATTTAGCATGGCCACTCCACCCAGCCTGCACATCTTTGGATGGTGGGAGGAAATCAGAGCACCTGGCAGAAACCTGTGCAGACACTGGGAGAACGTGCGAACTCCACATAGACAGTCACCAAAGGCTGGAATCGAACCTGGTGCTGTGAGGCAGCATTGCTAACTACTGAGCTACCGTGCTGCCCTTCTGGTAATTTCAGAAAATATAAAAATGTTTTAAAGACTCTTTCTGAACACTGAATTTAAAATGTATATTACACAGTGATTTATCTTGACAAGGTTTTTTTTTATCAATCATGAACTAGACCCCAACTTTCAAGGTTAGAAGAAAGAGAAGGTTTCAAAAATAAAATATCCAATAACTAAAATCTGAAGAAATGAGACCCCACATTTTAGAGTTAATTTTCAGTGCAAGAAAGGATGGTGAACAGTAATTAAGACTAATGATGGCCTTACAAATTTGCTTATATTGGAATGGACAAGCTCAAACTCTTTCTATTGAGTTTAGTCAGCATCAGTGGTGTAAGTACTGCAATTTCACACTCTTATTGCTGAGATATCTTTAGAACAAAGCTTTTTGGGAAGCAAGACAACTCAGCAACTTCCTGATTTCTGCACTTAATTCTTATATACAATTAAAGAAGTTGCTGTCTGGTTTATTTTCGAATAACAGTGAGCACTGATCACCCTGTTGCTATTCTTACTGTAGAATCTAAATCATTATATCATATAAAATTACAGTAGTTCCAAAATATGAATTGAGGGTGTGGTAGACAGCGGTGGTGAAGAAGGGTCACTGGACTCAAACTCTGCTTTCTCTCCACAGATGCTGCGAAACCTGCATAGTTTCTCCAGCAATTTCTGTTTTGGTTTCAATTTATTTTAATGACTTGGTTCAACAGATATTGATTATATATTTTTGCTTTGCAGCTCCAGTCATAGAACTGAACTCTCCATACTGGCAGCAGGTTCACTCTTTTTGATCTTTATTTTGGTTCAGAGGACATGTTCCACTGTTTCTAAAGCAGCACTGGCACTGGGGTTGGTGGGAATTTACTGCTATCGTGCAGCAATTGGAAACATAACATTCCCATGGAATCCAGATAAACATATTTCAAAGTAAGTTCTTTGATAATGTGTTTAAGCAATTGTCACATTTGTTAAGGTTAATGTCACAATTTAAGCATTAAATTTAAAGAACTAAATTCATAATTTTAGATATATAGATTGAATAGTTGTCCATGGATCATCATCCAGGTGGAACAGGTATGGGTATGGGTGGAGACAGTAATTGAATAATGAATCTGGGTCAGGGTGGAGCATAGTTGATGAGCTGAATAGCCTTTTCTCATAGTTCGAAATTACAGTTTGAAGTAAAGTTGTTGCTTTGTCAGAAAATGCAGCAGCATTTGAGTATCTATCAGAACAGACAGACAGTATCTTAGTTTAGCCTGTTTTGAAGGGCAGCATTTTCAACAGTGCAGCACTCCTTATACAACATCACTTTGTGATATGGGATTGTAAAAGGCATATGCAATTTATTAGGAGCAGTGCCAAAACACCATTAACAATTGTGTTTCTGGTGCAAATCTGTATGGCTACTATTTACAGGGATTGTAAACTTCTTGGAACTCAAAGCAGTCTGGTTTTAGCTAGAAGGGTATTTAAATAAAGCAAATTCTGGCTTAGCGAAAACGTCATTGAAGACTAGGATTCTTCCTAATCTGCTCCCACATAACTCTGCAAACCAAGACCCTAATGAGTAAGTGGCTGCTGCTAGGAGAGGCAGTCAAAAATGTTTAGGTACTCTGCCCAATAATCTCTAGGGTTTTAGTTGGTTAAATTCATTTGGTACTTGTTTTACCAAAGGTTTTAGCTTTGTCAATCTGTACTTAAGTTTTGGATTTGTGTAAATAAAGTGAAAGAGTGTATACTCCATACTGGTCCATTGACAGTCTTCTTGCGTGGTTTCACAGTAGAGAAAATTTGTAAACTTGGTTTTTCAATGCGTTGTACCTCAAGCTGACCAAAAGCATTAGGTCACTGTTGGCAAACAATGAATCATTGGAGATTTCATTCATTTTCGTTCTTCTGACTTAACTAGCTAGTGTGAAGGATGTGGGGTATGGATTGAGAAGAGCATCAGTGTATTGTAACTGCTGTTATCAGAGTGTCTAATCACTCAGGAAACTTGGTTTCCAAGGTCATACTTCCTACAAACCTGTGTTGCAAACGTTGTATTGCTATTGCCCCTTCTGTCTGAGACGAGGTGTTTAAAATCATGAAAAGCATACAGTTAATAGAGAGGAGTAATGAGAAGACACAGGTTGGAAGCAATTGGCAAAAGAACCAGAGTCAACTGGTGGAAAACTACAGTGGTTAGGATTGGAATGCATTGCTTTTTCGGGTGGTGAAGAGAGATAAATACTTGTGGAGGAAAGGTTGTAGGGATATGTGGAAAGAATGGCAGACTGGATCGAACTAGAGTGCTCTTCAGAATTTGAGTTAGTGCAAACTCAAAAGTCATAGTCATTTACAGCACTGAGAAAGCCATTCAACCCATTGGTGAGCTGTACTGTTCATACTGTACTTATTACAAATACATCATTTTTATTTTGTTTTTGTTAGGGGAATTATTGAAGCTCGTTTTGTTTATGTGTTTATCCTTGGCATCCTTTTTACGGGAGTTAAGGACCTGTTGAAATCTGCATTCGCTTTCCCTGACACAACAACAAACAGTAGAGGACTCTGGGAAATATACAATGGACTTGTGCTCTTGGCTGCATTGCTTCTTCGCCCTCACAACTTGCCAGTTTTGTTGTTCATCCTTGTGGTTCAATGGATTTTGACCAAATTTATATGGAGAATATTGGATTATGATGCAGCACAAATTACTATAATATATTACTGGTTTGGCCAGGCCTCTTTTTACTTTCAGGTACATTTTTATTCTCTCTTGGTTTTTATTAGCATGCGTAATTCTAAGACTTAGTTTTCTATAAAAGGATGATGGTTTTGTGTTTTTAAAGCTGTTTGAGTTTAATAATTGGTATCCTATTTACTACCAACATGAATTTTCAAGTTACTAACGCACTTCTAACTGTTACCAATTTCAAAGATTTCATCTGAAAAATGCAAAACTAATTTCACTAAAGCATTTTTTCAAGATTTTGATTGCTTTCAATGAGTTGTCCCGATTTGGTTAAAATTTATTTGACAAAAGATGCCCCTTAATCTTAGATCGCCTTTCAACATTCACTGTTTCAAGGAAAACAACACCAGTTATTCAATATCTCCCTACAGCTCAGATCCCCCAGCCCAGACAGAATTCTGGTAAATCTCTGCACCTCTCTCATGCAGTCACATCGTTCTGATAATATGGTGTCCAGAGCTGTATGCACTACTCCAGTTGTATCCCAATCAGTATTTTATACAGTTCCAGCATGATCTTCCCTGTTTTTGTATTCCATGACTCAACAAATAAAGGCATGTATCGCAAATGTCTTAGCCATCTTATCTATCTGTCCCACTACCTTCAGACATCTGTGGAAATGCACATCTAGGTCCCCCGCTCTTCAAATGAATATCAATTCTTACTTGCTTGGGAAAATATGTTAAATAGTTAATTAATGATTGCAGAACAGTCTTCAGTGAGATGGGGTAATGGGTGGAATCAGTTTTAGACTTGCTGTATTATAAATTAAAGACATTTTCCCTCATGTTTCAAATCTCAAATTGCATCTACAACCAACAAGACAGTATCCTATAAGTGTGAAGATGTAATTCTCCCAACTGCTTGTATGGACTTGACCATTTAACATTGATATAACGGATGCATAAAAGTTTTAGAATCAGTTTCAGATAAAATAAACTTTCACAAAGCCTCTTACAATTATACAACTGAATGGATTCCAAAGTGGAAGAACGTGCGTCCTTTTGGTTGCCAAAATGCTAGGAGAATCTTGGAATCATTATACCTGTACCAGGAATGAAGGCTGTGGATGCATTGTTACAGGAAATGAGCAGACAGCCCGCGTAATAATGCAAAGCCTATAGCAAACTTTCTGTTACAACTATTGAACTGAGTAATAGGGTGTCACCTGTTAATTTCCCTAATTTTGCACAAGAGTACTTTAACTTTTGCCAAAAGTAATTTAAATGTATGTTTTCCATGATCTTGAGAATTAGTTTTGCATTCCTAAGAATTGATTCATTCTGTGAAAGCTCTGTGGCCTTCACTTACCTATACCAGTGGTGCACTGCAAGACGTAACATGAGCTGTCTGTATACTTGTAGCTACTTAAAGGTTAAATATAAGGTTGTCAGATTGAGTTCCAAAAGGTTATAAACTACCTACAAAAAAAAAACTGCCTGTTATTATGAAAACTTTAAGACATGTTACAGGTGCTACTCATTTCTTATCATTTTACCACAAAAAGAGATTCCTAAATTCAAGAGATAGTAGGAACTGCAGATGCTGGAGAATCTGAGATAACAAGGTGTAGACTGGATGAATACAGCAGGCCGAGCAGGAAGGCTGACGTTTCGGGCCTAGACCCTTCTTCAGAAATTTCTGAAGAATTTCTGAAGAAGGGTCTAGGCCCGAAACGTCAGTCTTCCTGCTCCTCTGATGCTGCTTGGCCTGCTGTGTTCATCCAGCTCTACACCTCGTTATCTCTATTCCTAAATACAATCTTTCTAACCTTGTCCACTATCATATTCATCCACTGTCATCATGTTTCACCCAACATAGCAGCTTCAGAGTTGTGTATTGTTGTTGTACAGGATGTTGATCATCATTTTCTAATTGGTACTGCTCAAAACAAGCTTGACACTGTTGTCTGTGCCAGGAAAAAGAATTATAGACACACAGCCTTTGCTTGTAGTTATTTTGGACCAAAAGCTACTTAGAGAAAGCACACAATGATAATTTCACATTCTAATTACAATAGTCTGTCATTTCCAGGGAAAAGGCATTACATTCTCTCCTGCATTGGTGCCCCTTATTTTTAGTTCATATTTACGTCTTTCAGCACAACATTCCAAGTTTGTGGAAATTTCATTGTGAAATTTTCATGGCCTTACTCATCTATGCCTGGATAACCTAAGCCAAAAAAACAAATAAACATACCTACAACAAACTTGAAGCAATACAAAAGCACCATCTGTGGAGGCCTTGAATATCTTAATTTTCATGGCTGAAAAAATATTAAGATGAATCCATTTCTTTCTCAGTTCTTAACTGCATTACATATCGGAGTTTCTCTGGTCTGTGTACAGCTTTGTAAACATATCAAAACTTATCCATTTGTTTCAGTAACTTTAATTTGTTTAATGTTAGACTGAAAATTCTACCATTAAACAAGTTGGACTTAATGGTATATTTCAGCAGATTGCAACCACGAGAAATCTGTCAGTATATTTTAGTACATTGAAAGTTTTTCCACCTGGCCTGGCACATCTTGGGTTTAATACTCAAAGATAAAATTCATATGATATTCATTAAGATATTCATATAGTGGCAACTTTTTGTTTCTTATCACAGTTGAATTTTAGAATTGGTGTCCGTCTGTTTTTGGTGGTTTTGTTTTAACATAACTGCCTTTCATTTGTGAAGTCAGATGGAACATATTACAACAATTTTTATTTTTTTGTCTGCTCTGTCACTTGTGGCAGTTTATTTATATTGGAGAGGTGACTTCAAAATCAGATATGCAATCATTTTAATTTCATTGAACTTTAATTTTCCGTACAGGGAAATTCAAATAGCATTGCAACTGTGGATATATCAGCTGGTTTTGTGGGTTTCGAGAATTATGTGGAATTGCCAGCAGTCTTTCTTACACTATTCAGCACTTATATAGGCCCACTACTGTGGGCTGTGCATCTAACTTGTTACATGAGCTCAGAAAGAAACAGGTAATGACTTATTTACCTTGATATCAATGTTAAAAGAGGAAACAATCACAGCTTCTTTGTAACCCTAGATCAAAACTTAGTCTTTTGTAAATCTAACGAATAAATTTAAACTTGCGGTTCTAGGGGACATTAAAATTAGAGGTTCCCCTTGGACAGAGATGAGAATTTTTATCTGTAAGGTTTATGCTACATTGGAAGTGGGGTAATTAAATATTTTAAGGTAGAGGGCACTAGATTATTTTTTGGCAAGCTGAATTCAAGGTTATCTGAGTGAATGGAGATGTTGAATTGAAACACAACTAGATCAGCTTTTTTGTATGTTCCTTCAGAACTCCGTTACCATGTGCTGTTCAACAATCACTCTCGTTTTTGCTGACTGACCCCTAGCTTCTGCTTAAGTATAAGCTTGATTTTTAAAATTCTCATTCTGATTTTCAAATCCCTGGGGCCTGGCTCCTTCCTATTTTTAATCTCCTTCATTCCTACAATCCTGTGCATTTGCACTTCTAAATTTGGCCTCTTGAGCAGCTCAGATTTGATTTGCTCCATTGTTGGTGGCTGTGCCTAAGCCTGAATCTGTGAAATAACCTCCACCTTTCTATCTTACTTTCTTCCTTTAGACACCCATTAAAACCTATTTCTTTCACCAAGCTTTCGGTCAACCTACCTAATAATCTTTGTGTTCACTTGATATCATTGTCATGTTTTGTTTTATGACACCTCCATGAAATACCTTAGGATGTGTTATTACGTTAAAGGTGCTAGATAAATACAACTTGTTTAATTTGGGCACACTTTAAAACTAAATTTGGCTTAACTTAATAACTGTACAATTTTCAAGTTGAATTCTATAGTTACTGCTGCATGTCATACAGCTGTGTTCTTCCATAATGGGTATTTCTCTTCATAACAGATTAAAGATGCATACAGTTATATCAAGGAATAACACTATTCTATTCATAGTTATGCTTTGTTCAGGATCATTAGAAAGAAAGTAGAACTCTTCTTTTGGTGATCTACATGGAGCATGATTTCAGTCTTGATTAGTCATTGGGTAGGACTTATTTATCCAAAGTAGTATTCCCCAATGGCTGGAGTTAAACCTGACACAAAGAACGATGGTTACAGTGGTCAGAGGCCAGTCATCACACGCTAATCACGGATCCTTAACTGCTTCATTAATGGCTTTCCCAGTCAAATGTCTTCAATATGGTTCTTAAAAATCTGAAAATTCAAAAGTTCTATTGGTAAAAGTGATGATGACGCTGTTGTTTTGTAGTACCTGAAAGTCATGGAAACAGATGCAAGCATCTGCCTCAAATGACACTAGGTGTGAAAATAAGATGAGGAAAGCAGGGTACACAGTTTCAATTGATCTTCTACTAGGCAGATGAAAGTTTTGACCAGCAATGTTATTCATGTTAATCTTTCACACCTTTTTTGTGACAGGTATTCTGCAGCAGTGGGACACAGCTGTTACTGTTTAGTTCTACTAAGAGCAATTCCAGCTTCAGTTTATGTTATTCTGGTTATCTCTCTTCGCTATCATCTATTTGTCTGGAGTGTTTTCTCTCCAAAATTGCTCTATGAAGGTATGCATACACTTGTGACAACAGCAGCCTGTGTCATGTTCACAGCAATGGATCAGAAACGGATGATAACAGTCTTAAAAAATTGAGTATTGGACAGGGTTCACGTGTATATTTGTAAAAATTTTCAAGATCTATAACATAATTCCAATTGTTGTAAAGCAAATAGTCAGGATTGTGTGAAATTGCGATATAAAACACTTCTCTGTTATAAAAGTTCTTTTGGGGTGCAGGTTTCTAAGGGATGAAATAGCATGGATATCAGTGAGTCAGCCTGTTTTAGTTCCATTTTAATCTTCAAGTCAATCTAAAGTTGGCTCTGATTCACGATTACCCATTTTTTGCTGCTAGCAAAGATGAGTTTTATCATTTCACCCAAACCCTGAAATTATTGAACAGTGTCCTCCTCTGCTGGAGCATTTAACACATTGTATATGCAGGTTTTCTTTTTCACATGGGCAAACAGGGTTTATTTTTCACTCTTCTTCCCACACCCTTTAGTATACCTCTTTTGCAAGAAGTTATTTATTTGAAAGTATAATTTTATAGACTCTGCTTTAACAAAATAGGTTGTGACAGCAAATTGCAAATACCAAGCATTATCAATTTTTTTTTGTAAACTCAGGTTTGGTGATTGCCTTAGTTTGAGCCCACCCCAATTCCATGATGTTTCTTATTTATTTTTAAATGTAAGTTCAAGAAACTTTTTGAATTAATTTTGGGTGGAACAATTGGTTCTGGTCCATGAGAATACATTAGCAATGACCAACAAGTTATAGGAGTCGAGTTTACATAATTTGGCAACCTCAATGTAGTCCAACACCAAGTTAAATTTGTACTACTTCTTGAAGCATGAATTTGTTAAGGACCAGAATACTCAGCTCATCGGTCTTGCCATTGTTTTAGATTCATATTTGAAGTTTATACTTTATTACATGGCATTTTAATCTGAATTCACATTATGGTAAGTAAATGAAAAATGGGATGATAAAGCTTGTGATTATTGGTTCAGCCTCACCTGCTGTATTGTGTCTAATTTAGTTCAACATCAAGAAGGGCAGAGCATGTAGCAGTGGGAAACTAAATTGATAACTGGGATTGAACATGCACGCAATAAAGCTTCGCAGCCTGTTATGTCTTGAAAAGGGAAAGATCAGGTGATTAAGTAAGTTTACAAGAACACAAAATGCAAAGACAAAGTACAGAGTAGAATTTCTATACTGTCCTCCCCATCCGCCCACCAGAACATCAGTGCAGCCAGTGTTAAGATTCGACAAGAACAAACATTTATAAATCGTTCTACATTGCCACCAGTTACATAGAATGAGCTATTAAGAGAGATGGATTGTTAGCTTTGATAAAAGTAGTGTGTTTCTGGACAGTAGGGCAGACAGATGACAACTTCACTAATGTCATTATGGTTCAATGATCCTATGCCATTTAAATAAACGGAGGAATTTTAGGCACGTACACTAACTTTTTCAGATAAAATGCATAAATGGACTCCATTGTGTGAATTATGAATGGTCGATTTATTAAAAAAGATTTTTTGAAATGTCTGCTTGATGATGCACAGAAATTAAATTTCTATTTTTCAAAGCAAGAGAATAAAGTGACTTTCTTTCCAGAAATATTACTTCCATGATGTTAGATTTGTCTTGTCTTGTGACAACTATTGCAAGAACACACTGATAAGGAGAGAATGTTATAAAGCATAATCTTTGAAAAGTCATGTCTCACTTTCATCATGATTCATAGAGTAATTGGTCTTAGTTTTACAATCTTAAGATGCTGATACATGAAGGACACAAATCTCAAGTATCTTTAGTTGAATCATTACTGGGACCAGCAGCAAGAAAGGCAGTAGTAAAATAGATAGGTTTCCTGATTTAACATCATTGAATTTTCCAAAGGGAAAAAACATCACTAATCTGTGGGAAGCATGTGAGAAGCGTCAAGTTAAATAAGAGTTAAAAGCTTACAAAGCATGCATAATAAAGAGTAATGTTTCAGGTGAAAGACTTAGTGACAGAGCAGAGAGATTAGGCTCAGATTGCCGTCAGTTCCTTCCTCCTGCCAGTGAATGAGAATACATAAAGTAATTGCAACATAAGAAAACAACTAACCGGTTTGCCAGTTTTAAAAATCAACCTCTGGGAAGACAGCTACACTTCTTCTCCCTTTTTTTTGGTTACAAAGATAGATACAGTTCGAATTACACCTGGGAGACAATCTACATTATTTTAAGACTGAGTAATAAGAAAATACAATCTTAACTTTCAGTACTTTAATTCTTAAAGCAAGATTTTTCATATTCACGATTCTGTTGATATCGAACTTTTATCATTGAGTGGCAGCAGATTTATTTGTTTTCATAACATTACAGGGTAGATAATGGCCTTGTGATATTATCACTAGGTTACTAGTCCAGAAACTCAGGTCATATTCTAGAGACCGAGTTTGAATCGTGTTGGAATTGATAATGATCATGAAACCATTGTCAATTGCCAGGGAAACCCCCACCTTGTTTGCTATAATCCTATGGAAAAGGAAACTTCTATCCTTACCAAGTCTAGCATACATGTGACTCTAGAACAACAGCAACATGGTTGACTCTTAGCTGCACAATAGATGCCACCCTTACCCACACCCTGTGAATAAATTTTTAAAAATTAATCTAAGTCATGTACATGGACAGTCATGCTATAATTATGAGCTATCAATGTTGACATGAAATAAAATGGCTACAAATTAAGAAGCATACATCAAATATTACAATCCATGATGACTTCAAGTTTAAAGAATTATCAAAATCCAGATATGTCAGGAGGCAATTTTGCTCCCATATATTGAGTTCTTTCAACAAATTATCTACATTCAGGTAAGTGACAAATCATTATTTCTAAGCATGCTGTAGTTAAGGCTTGCTACTTTAGTAAGCAATGCATTGAACAGAATTAGCACTTTTCTGAACTATTGACAGACTTTATTTACAATATATTGAACTGTACATTTTTTGCAGTATGTGGAACATTTGGGGCAAAGATACATTGAAGAAAGATATTGTGTAATATATTGTTCACTTTGTGAACATTTCCTGAACAAAGATAACCCAGTTCTGTTGGCTTATTATATGTACATAATTTATACAAGCAGCATTTAGATAGGCAATTACACAATGAGATTAAAGCAGAGAGTAAAATCAATTACAACACTAATAATTTTAACATGTTTTGAGACACAAACAAACAACCTTTCCTTAATTCTCCAACACTGAATACTACATTTCAATCAAAATACAAAAGGTAAATAAATACAATACTAAGTTGTAGTGCATATTATGAATACTTGCACTTTGTGACTCCGCTTTTCATTTTGGAGAACAAAGCAGAAAATTGAATAGTAAACAGGAACATGTTATGAGCTGACAAGGCAAATCAAAAAGCAGCCTAAGAAAATAATAAAGTATTAAAACTATTGACCTTTGTGTAAGTACTGAGGTGCTTCATGTTTATGCTTATAAAAGTCTTTTTGTTGTAAATCTTAATTGAGCTTTATTATGGAGAGCTCATACACTCAGTCTGCCACTTGAATAACTGGCTTGAAAATGGCACCAGATGATACTGCAGGTACTCACATTTCAGGAAACAAATAGTTAATTTTTGTGCTCAAGTTAGCATTCCATGCTAGTGGAATCATGGTTTCACCTTGGACAACTAGAATGTGCACCATTGGGTAACTGATTTCAATTGTTAGCCGGAAGATAAGACCACTGGTCTGTCAGAATGATGCCAAGTTCCAGAAAAGCACAGGGTGCTCAACCAGAGTGTGTTGTCCAGTTCCTTTTAGTAATAAGTCCAGACATCTAGATTACAGAGGGGACCTGGACCATTACATTTGTTGTATAGGCAGGTTAGAAAATTGAACAGTAGCAGGTTAATAGATTATGCATCCAAAGTGTCAGTCATGCAAATGAACAACCAGTGCTGGAAAGCCATGCTGCAGATCATGCAATCAAGTCACTGCAAATGAAGAAAAAAAAAAAATTAAACAAAAATATTAATTGCATGCCTTTTACTTAGCATTTACTGGGAAGGGTTAGTGCTTCTAAATTTAGTAACCATCACTATAGAGTATTGCTACAAAATAAATAACAGTTAAAGTTATTTGCAAGTCATCATGCTTATCATAATATTCTATTTTGGATTAAAATACCACTTGACTAGTTATTAACAGTTCAAAAATGAGCAACTCAGATCTCATTTTCCAAACCAGGTACTCAGTTATTACTGACAGTAATGTAACCTGCATAAGCAACAAAAGTAACTGTAAATGAAGAACGGCGTACCTCTTAATTACCATGAGGGCAATGACAATATTCAGTATTAGTGCATAGTTCTCATAATACAAATGTTAATTCATTTTGGCAAGTTGTCAATTTCTGCCACCCAAGCCATTGTGAAGCAAGTGTTGGAAGATCATATTGTAGCTCATGATAATGCAACAATTCTGTAATTCGTGATTTATTAAGGATTTTGCAAAAATAACTGATAACGCAAAGCTTAAATTTTAAATATCTTCACGTTTTAGTCGTAGGAAGAAATAGAGCATAATAAATCTTTCTATACATTTGACAAGAGTAGGGCTTCTAGCTTTTATTTGCCTACTCAAACAAAAATGATGAATATAATGTTAAGAAAAGCACGTAAGCTACCAATCATCCCATTTTTCTTGGTATCAAACTGTACTGCAGCCGAGTACATAATTTAAGCTGAAATAAATCTTTATTAAAGGGACAGATTAGAAGAGAATCTATACAGGAATAACTTTATTAGAAACTGCCAGCAAGGATTTAGAGAGGTAGGATCTTTCTGAAGAACATTTTTGATGCTACAAGTTGGATAAAATGTTTTGACAAAGACTTATAAAATTCGTTTGGGGCCAACTTGATGGGACTGCAATCTTTGGCCCTGTACATCCCTTTAAGTTTAACTACAAGAGCAAGGGACCAGGCAAGAAACTGGTTAAAAAGGAAACAGAGCTGTGTCAACCGAGGGATTATTTTAGTCCATTTGAAAATTTTAATTAAATGGATCAAATTTGTAGGGCTAACTCTAGAATGGTAGAGAGAACAGTTTTGCTAAAAAAGTCAAAACTGGCTATTGATCAATGTATCGGTCAAAAATTATATAAATGACAATTGAGTTCACACATATTTAGAAAAGAATCAGAAGAGTAGACCATTTCCAACATATAGCTAGTATGACTAAACAGTTTATACAGGATAATTAGTGGAAGCCCATGAAGTTGTAAGATTTCCAGTACACTGGTAGGGCAACAATTTACACTACTAGAAAACAGATGAAAAATACTGCAGATGCTGATGAAGTGTCAGTGACCTGAAATGCCAATTCTACATCGCTTGACCTGTTGAGTGTTTTTGGCATTTTTGGTGTTTATGCATAAATTACTGTATCCAGTTCTCAACAGCACATTCACTGAAAAAGATATATACTGACGTTGTAAAGGACACAGGAGAGAGAAGTCCAATCCCAATGAAAAACAGCTTTATATTCTGGAAAAAAAGACCATCAAGGCACAGCAAAGTACTTAGCGTCGAAACATAAATTCATATCACTACTTCAAGTAAACAGAAGGAAAGCGCAAGTGGAAATGAGTGAAAATATTCCAAAGCAGGAATCTGGCAGAAGTACGTCTCCTAAAGAATGATAAATGTGTGAAATAATATGCCAGGCAAGGTAGAAAAGGTAAAAATGTTAGTTTTGTTCCAAATAGAGCTGGATGTGGTGATGGGAGTTTTGTTGACCCAGAGAAAGTAGATTTGATGGCTGAATGGTCTTTTCTCATGATAGAAAATGCAGACAGCTGAAACGCTAAAAAAAAAAGAACATTATTGTTTCAAACACTGATAAGGCTGAGCATGAGGAGAATTTGGGGGCGGTGGGGTGTAGAGAGGGGTGGTGGAGGCTGGGGGTGACAGGAGACAGTGTGCAAATAAAAGCCAGAGGGGAAAGATTGACACAGAGTGTTAGAATGCCAACCTCCTTCAAAAGTCTACAGTACAAATACATAAAATTCATACACAAATTTGTTCTCAAACAAGTTTAACGATAGTCCAAACGGCTGATTTGCACACATGTACTTCAACCATAAACACTATAGTGTAAACATGTGACTTAAAGACATCAAAACTGTATGGAGATTTACCATCTATTCTACAATGTAGCTTATTTTTATAGGAAAACTTTCCACATTTTGTAACATAATGATAATCTAGGCAGAAGAATTTTAACCACCTTGCTACATTTATGTTATATAACATACTTTACTCAAATGAACTTTGATCTCATTTCAAAATAAGGTTGATGTTTTGATGTCTATCTAAACATGACAAATTAACCTCTCAATTTAGAGTGAAATACATGGGCCCAGATTTTGTGGTAAGAACAATAATGATGCTATCAGGGCTCATAGAAATTATACAGTAAATTGTACAGAAAGTTCTGATATCTATACATTAACAGCTAAACATGGAAACCAGGAAGCCAATGTCAGTTTTTCCTGATTCTGCACAAGCTTTGCTACACTGGCATCCACCAAGAGACCCAGCATTTAAAAATGTAAAGGGTTTGAAGATACAGTATTTACCCACTAGACACTAAAGGTGTCCATTTAAGTGAAATTTTCAATGGCGTAAGTTCTAATTACTCCTAAACAATTTCTCTGGCATTGAAAATTGTCAAGTCTTAATTAAAAACTTTTTTTTTTTGCTTTTGCGGTCATCTCTCCCACAACCCCATTGTCTTCCTTCTCTTTCAATTTCTGTATGTTACATTCAATTCAGTGTTCTAGCTTAGACTACCTGGCTCAGTTTCTGTGTGCCTTAGTAAGGCTTCTTCAGTGTAGTTGGGTGAAAGGATGTACTATTGCTTGTCTTGTTCACTCAGGTCCTAGATATCTGTGGAGGGCACTGTGTTACATTAGACAATAAATAATCTCAAATTATCACACACAATCCCTGAAGAGATCCGAGTGGCTATAAGCATAAAGAGCAATAGAAACCATTTATTTGCTGCTTATCACAAAATCTGAGCCATTTTACTCCACTAGATTTCTGAAATTAACTTAGTAAGTTTAAGACAATTATGAGAGAAATTCACGTCAAGTTGCTCATTTGCACATGTAATCTCAAGAAAAGTGACAGAAACCATAGTGAAATGGCATTGCAACAGGCAAATAGGAGGAATCTCTATGGAAATTGATCCTCCATGCATTTCAAAGCAGCTTTGAATGCAACAATGGTAATGAGACAGGCTTGCTTATTCACTCGTGTTTCTTTATTTTTCACTTGATGCCTTTTCATATTGCATATTTTGTTTGTACCACAAGTGTACTATAAAATACTTCATATAAATTTGTGTAGACTTCCATGAATCAACTTTGAACTGTTTCTCAAAACTGTCCTAAAATTACAGATCTGGGTTCAGGGCAGATGTCAGAAAGCAATCCTTCAAAAAACAAAGGTTAGTGGAAATCTGGAACTGTCTCCCATAAAAAGAACTATTGGGACTTGATCTATTGAAAATGTCAAAATAACACTGATGGTTCTGTAACCCTTATCTAAAACCTAAGGTTAGTAGCTAGAGTTGAGGGAGAGAGAGAGAGAGAGATCAGCCATGAATTGTAACAGGCTAATGTTCCTATGCTCTGCCAATGGTTGCATAATTGTTAATCCTTCAGTAGGAATATTAATCAGTTAAATACAGCAGCTTTTAGTGTACAAGGCCTAGACTGAAGACTCGTCCATTGAAAATTAGAAGGACAGAACTCCACCAAAAGTGTAAATCACCAAGCCGATAAACATAGGTTTTAAAATTTGAAAAGCATTAGATCTAGGAAATGGGTAAATGTCATTTGTTGTCACTTTTATGGAGTTATTTGATGTAGTGAAGCACAAATACCGTCTGGAGAACAAAGGGCTCCCCTCATATCAACAGCTTTAACATTTGAAAGGTAATTTTATCAATTCGTATTGTTAAGAAGAGAGTCTTTACCATTGCAGGTCCTAATGAAAATTTGGTCACATGTTGACTGTGATTTTCTAATTCTCAAGTGTACAGAGTTGCTGAATATAACAGGCTTGATGGACCAACTAATCTTTAACTATATGAACACAAAGGGTTCTGTAATGCTATTCTCAATATCTATCTTGACTTTTGGTTAGCATATTGTAAAATTATTAGATGAAGTTCGCAATTAGAAATATAATACATAACTCACTTATCATGCAGTTACTTTGCACTGTGACTCAAAGGTGTGGAAAAAAATTGAAGGTCTATAAAAGCATTGTAATTGGATCATAATTTACTAGGAAACAAATTACTTGGGATCATTTGCACTTTAACTACAGCACTATTAGATGTAAAAGCATGCTTTAGCTATTACTTTAAATCTTTAATGTTACTGTAAAAGATGGCAGGACTGCAAAACAGGGCATTTTGCTTCTAATGATAAGCAATGCAGTATCAACATCAAATACTAATTGGGACAAAATATATACTTTACAATTATTCAGCATTAAATGGAAACATGGGCTTGAATGGAAAATCATTCTTACAGGCAGTCAGTATCAATTTATTAAATATAGATATTTTGAGCTGTCAACCAATGTCACAAATTGAGCTACATCTAACTACATTTTCCATTTCAGAAAAGGAATACATGGGAGCCAAATTTGAAAAGGAGTGCACACTACCTTGTTGCCTGAACGTGAGCTTAAGTTATTTATTACAGTCATTGATAAAATTGTCCCAATGGATTTATTTCTGCTTATATTCTTCCTATAAAATAAACCTGACAAGGATACACACAATATAGAGAAAAGGCCTTTTTACCAGCCAACCTCAAATCAGATATCGGCCATGTGCAATTATATCACTGACCAGGTACTTTCGATCTAGTCATTTTTATTGATCTTCTACATTAAGGAATAGGTCACATTTTACAAAGAAAGCACAAATGAACAAAAGGGTGAAATAATTTCAATTTTAAAAACAGGATTAAACCATACTGTTGTGGAAATTGAAAGCTGAGCAAGAAAGCATTCCCAATCACCAGTGCTGAATAAATTATGCCAGTAAGGGAATGTGGAACAAAAATTTATTCCACTATTAATTTTATATTACACTTGTGGCTTAAATGTTATATGTAGGCTAGTAAACAATACATTCAATTGAAACATTAACGTAAAGTTTTTAAAAAAAATTAACAATGAACAGAACAAAGTTGCCAAGTGACTGAAGATAGTCATTAACTCATATACTGCATGATTGATGTTACAGCCATTGGCTCTACCTTCTACCTTGCTGTTGCTGGTTGAACGTGCCCAGGATAAGGTCGCCGTGTACTTGTTGCCTGTCTCTGTCTAGCTAGGAAGGACTGTCCTGAACCAGTGCTGGCAAGTCTTTCTTCTGCTGCTTTCTTATGAAGAGCCATTCCCTATTAAACGAAACACAATAATCAAATGAAGGTATTTACGAGAATAATGGGCACATTTGAAAATCTGATGGCACAGCAGGTTAAAAACAAAACTGATCACCTTGCTCTTTGCCTTCACAAAAAAAACCTCTGTTCTGGTTACAAAAGGTGAGGAAAAAGAAGATTTGAAAAGCAACCTCCACTCCTTTAATGCTATTTGTGGATTTGAGATTTTTTTCCCTTGAAGACAGCGTAAAGCCAGGGTCTGGTCATTCAAGTCAGGCATGTCCAGCCTCCTGCCCAATTCACTTTCATGGATAAAGGGAGTGGAGCTTTCCTCAGAGCAGAGTATTTGAGTAGGTCTTGCAGCTCGATCAGAGAAACAGGTACAGACATTTTCAGTTAACCCTCTGGATTTCCTAGGAGGCAAGGAGGTTTGTGGTGTTCGGGCTGCTAACATCCAGAGGCCAGTTTGGTTGTATTCAACCTTCCTCCTGCCAGGTGGTGGACCTTACTTATTCATTCTTGGGCTGCAATTATCATTGGCAAGGCCAGTATTTATTGGCCATTCCTAACTGTCTACCATCTTCAATTGTTACACCTGTGTGGTAATAGGTACACCTACGGTCTGTCTGAAAAGAAAAGCCACAGTTTTGACCCAGTGATGGTGAAGGAAACAACACAGTTCCAAGTCAGGATAGTATGTAACTCAGAGGGAACCTTGTTGCTGATGATCTTCCCAAACATATGTTGCATTTGTCTTTGTAAGTTGTTGGGGTCGCAGGTTTAGAATGTGCTGAAGCAGCTTTGTTAACTTGTGACAGTACATTTTGTATATGGTACCTGCTACTGCCAGAGTGTATCAGTGGGAGGAAATGAATATTTGAGATGGTAGATGGGCTGCCAATCAAGCATGCTGCTTTGTCTCGAATGGTGTCAAACTCCTTGCACAATAGAACTGCACTCGCCCAGATGTGAAGCATAGCATCCTTGGAGACAGAGCAATCTAACGTTGAGTATAAAAGACTCTTCATTAGAGCTCTAGAACCGAAACATTAACTTGCTCTCTCTCCGTGGATGTTGCCTGACCTGCTATGATTTCCAGTTCCTTTTGTTGTTTTCAGTACAGACTCCAGCATCTGCAGTAATTTGTTCCTGGAGGTATGAAGCGTATTTGTTAATACTCTTGACCTGTGAATTATAAATGGCGGACAGTCTTCAAGGACTAAGGAGGTGATCTACTATGTTGGCTTCTGATCTGCTCTTGTAGCCACAGAATTTATATGGTTGGTCCAATTAGCTGTTCAATATGCCTAAATCACTCATAGGATAATCTCAAAAGACAATATATAATTCATTAAGATGAGAAGAGAAACACAGCGAGTTCACGTTACAGTTCAAGACTAGAGGACTTAACATGGAAAGATTCTACATTTACACACAATAATACAAATCAGGAGCAGGTCTAGGCCATTCAGCCCTTTCAGCCTGCTCTGCCATTCAGTAAGACTATTGCTGATCCGATTACAAACTCAAATCCACATTTATGCCTACCCCATTAACCATTCAACCGCTTGCTTAATAAGAATTACGTACCTCTGACTTAAAAATATTCAAAGACTCAAACCCTCTTCTTGAAAAGGTGGTCGAAGCAAAAACTCAAAATTTCACCAATTCTCTACTTTTTAAACAGTGACCTCTAGTTCTAGATTTTCCCACAATACAAACATCCTCCCCACGTCAACCCTGTGAAGACCCCTCAGGATTTTAGATGTTTCAATCACGTCACTTCTTAACCTTCTAAAGTTCAGTAGGTACAAGCCTAGCCTGTTCAACACTGCTGCACAGACATGCTGCGCATTCCAGGTGTTAGTCTGGTAAAACTTCTCTGAACAGACTCCAATACATTTGCATCCTTTCAGAAATAGGGTGATCAATCCACTGAACAGTTTTCTAAACATCGTCTTACCAGTACCCTGTATAACTGAAACATAAGCTCCCTACTGTTGTATTCAATTTCCCTCATGACATGATACTAGCTTTCCTACGTGATGGTTGTCCCTACATTCTAACCTTTTACGATACATGCACGAGAACACCCAGATCTCTGTCTCAGAGATCTGCAGTCTATCACCATTTAGACAATATATTACTTTGCACCACTTCCTGCCAAAGTGGATAACTTCATATTTTCCCACATTATACTCCATTCACCAGATCTTTGCCCACTCACTCAAAATGTTAATTTTTTTAACCACCTTGTGTGCTTGTCCCAGCTATCTTTCCTATCTTTGTGTCAAACAGCACTTGCTTAGCAGTAACCTGTTCACAGATGCTCAGTTTGAGTACCACCTTGGCCATTCAGACCCTGATCTCATTAGTTTTGATTTAAACATGATCAGAAGAGCTAAGCCCCACAGTGAGATGAGAGTGACTGACTTTGACATCAAAGCTCCATTTGATCGAGTGTGGTGTCAATGAGCCCTACCAAAATTAGAATCAATTAGAATCTGGAGAAAACTCTCCACTGGTTGGTTGGAGTCATACCTAGCAAAAAAGGGTAGACAGTGTGGTTGTTGGAGGTCAGTCATCTCAGCTCCTGGATGTAACTCCAGAAGTTCCTCAAGGTAGCATCCTAGGCCCAACCAACTTCAGATATTTCATCAATAACCTTCTCTCCATCTTAAGGTTGGAAGTGGAGCTGTTCAGTATCTGTCATGACTCGGACACTGAAATAGTGCATGTCTAAACGCAGCAAGACCTGGATGGTATCAAGGGTTTGGCTAACAAGTGGCAAGTAATGTTAATGCCAGGCAATGACCATCTCCAGAATAAAATCTAAGATTCTCCTCTGATATTCAATGGCACTATGATTGCTGAATCCCCCACTATCAACATCTTGGGATTTACCATTAACCAGTATAAATACTGCGCTGCAACAATACGTTACGGTCTAGAAATCCTGGAGTGAATAACTCACCTATTGACTCTCCAAAGCCTGCACACCTTTTACAAGGCAAATCAGGAATGGAATATTGAACTCAAGAAGAGTGACACCATCCAGCGCAAAGAAGCCGTTTGATTAGCAACTCATCTTCAATCATTCACTCCTGCCAGCACTGACACGCAGCAGCAACATATGTATCATCTATAAGATGCACTGCAGAATTTCACCAAGGCTTCCTTAGTCAGCATCTTCCTAACCCATGACCATTACCACATAGAAGAGTAAGGTAACACAGACATGCAAACACTGTCACCTTCAAGTTCCCCTTGAAGCCACACATCATCCTGACTTGGCAATACATCACCATTCCTTCACTGTTGCTGGGTCAATATCCTGGGACTCCCTCCCCACTGGTACTGTGGGTTAATCTATACATTGAACTGCTGAAATCCAAAGAGGTAGCTCATCAACACTTTCTGAAGAGTGACTAGAGAATGACAATACTGCTGGTCCAGCCAACAAACAAACATCCCCTAAATTAATGAAACAGACAAGTTTAAAAAAACATTAAATTCTACTGTGCACTGGAGACAAAATGGAAAATATCATTTAACTGAGGCTTATCTTAACACATCTAAGCCTCCAAAGATTATGAATGGCCCGGAGATTACTTATTACTCTGAAGAACTGAACCATGAGACATTTTCAAGACTATTAAGGGAATAGCTAAAATAGAATTCTGAAAACAGGCTTGACATTACTTCAAACTATAGAATTGCATGTTCATGCTTAGATGATGAACAATTAGGTATTTTGAAAACATGCAATGAGCTATCCAGTAATCCAATTATAAAATTTAAGGCAGAATATACAAGTATCACATTTGAAATTGTGTGCAATTTAGATGATTTTCAGAACCATCCACACAAGTTGCAGCTTATTCCAAGTTTGCACATTCCTATTCTTTGTTAAATTATTGCTTAGCTGTTTACCATCAATATTTTATTGTTTGACCTCTTACCATGTTATACCATGCACTAACAATCAGCTTCTCTTCATGATCTCTCTGAATCTTTGTCTTCTCATATTCTTTCTAGATGTTTAAAAAAAAATATATACATTTAGTCCAGAAGTACCACTTTTTGTCTGTTTCTAAATGGTCTTTGATAACCTTTCAATGCTAAAAAAATTTTATTATATAAAGATAAATCATTTGTCTGCAGCGGAATATCCTGCACCTAACTTGCTAGACTGTAGCAAATATTCCAATCACTGGTAGGTAATACATTTTTATTTTATTCAACGGATTACAAAACTTGTTGAACAGAGGAAAAGAACACAGTTCTATTTCAACTATTTATACTGCAATGATAGGCAAATACAGATGTCATTTTCCAGATAGTAAAGATAGCAGAAAGAGCAAGGAAATTAAAATGTAGCTAAATTTTATTGAAATTGGCAACCAAAAGAATATTGAGAAAATATTACTTTGAATAGTAACATAAGATCTTAAACATGAAAGTGTAAACCATTGCTGTGAACCCATTATCTAAATGATGGTATCTCAGAAATTGCAGCACTCCATTCTACGAAATTCTATGAAATTACTGCAACCTTCTAATTGTATTAATACAGATGAAAAAATTGAGGGTCACAAGGACTCTGAAGCTCAAACCTTTCCCTGCTTGGTCTCATCCAACAAGTATATACACTGCACCGCACAATTTAGTAACCTCTACAAAACATTATCCAAAGTCTCATTCCGAAAGGAAATAAACAAATATCTAAATTGACAAAGCTTAATAAATAAAAAGTAAAAACATGCACGCATAAGCTGTGACTATGGAAAAACCCCACAGAATTCACACAAAGTTGTAGAAGTTTTGAACTTTTGAACTGGATATTTAATGCCAGTTTTTAAGGAAAGCTAAAAATTAGATTAGAAACCATGAATTTATTAAACTAGAATTAAGCCAGAAGGTATGTTGGTAAGTTGGCCAACTTCTAAAGGATTCAAGAATATTATGTCTGAAACAACAAAGCCATCAAGGCAGTACAGTTGATGTGCACAGTAACCTTTGAGTGATATTTGATAATATCCTTTACAATGGACATTAATAAAATTGGAAGAGACTGTGTGGACAGGAGATGGAAAACTGAGAGCATGGTTGTTCACCAGACTGAAAGAAAGACAGGTACCCCCACAGAAGCCTACATTAGGGCGACTGTTCTTTCTGACAAATAAAACAATTTGATACATATTAATTACTTGGACTTTGATATAGAAAGTATAACTTCATAGTTTGCAGAGAACAATTAAACAAAGGGGAGGATAATAGCAGACATCAAGAGGAGATGTACAAATTGGTGAAATGTGCTGCCAGATTAAACAAAGAAGTATATTATGAGATAACAAGGTGTAGAGCTGGATGAACACAGCAGGCCAAGCAGCATCAGAGAAGCAGGAAAGCTGACATTTCGGGCCTAGACCCTTCTTTCTGAATGTAGTAACAGAAATAATTGGGGTTGTTAGGTAAAGCTTAAGAAAATCCTTGGCCAAACAAAAAGGCCTGAAGTACAAGATGAAATAAATCATGCTAAACCTTAACTTCAAGCTGAGAACCTGCAGTGATGTATAATGTACAATTCATAGGATCATATTTTAGGAAGGACAGAAATGAGAAATAAGAGTCCCAGGAAGGAAATAAGTCAACCAAGAAAGTTAAGGATAGCTTAAAATTGGAAAAATGTTATACAGTTTTCAAGATTAGTGGTAAGCAAAAGGATTGGGAAATATTTTTAAAAATAACAAAACACGGCGAAAAGTAATAGAGGGTCAAAATAATCTTCAAGTGTAAACTTGCATGTAGTATCAAGACAGACAGCAATAGCTTCTTTAAATGTATAAAAAGGAAGGGGCATAGTGGACATGACCCCTTAAAGAAATTACAGGGAACCAGAAAATGAGAAGAGTTGAACAAATACTTCGCGTTCATCTTCACGGCAGAAGATGCAAACAGCATTCTAAAAATACAAAATAATTAAGAAGCAAAAGGAGTAAAGGAAATAATTATCACTACAGGAAAGGTACTGAGGAAATTAATGGGACTAAAAGCCATTAAGTTCCCTAGACATGGGATGTATCCTAAAATTTTAAAAAAGTAGCTACGAGATATTGGATGCACTTGTAACAGTGTTGCAAGAATTCTTAGATTCTAAAAGAGTCCCACAGGAAAACTGCCAATGTATGACCCTTATTCAAACAAGGACGGAGACAAAACAAAGTAACTGAAGGCTAGTTAGCTTAAATATCAAAAAAAAGATAAATAACATTCACACAAAACAAGTGTCAGGCAATGACTGGCTCCAAAGAGAGATAACCTAAAGATCGTCCCTTGACATTCATTAGTGTTACCATCACTGAATCGCCCACTATCAAAATCCTGGTGGTTACCATTGCCCAGAAACTCAACTGGATTAACCATATAAATACAGTGGCTAGAACAGCTGGTCAAAAGTTTGGAATACTGCAGCAAGTAAATCACTTCCTGACTCCCCAAAGCCTGTCCACCATCTACAAGATACAAGTCAGGAGTATGATGGAATATTCTCCATTTGCCTGAATGAGAAAATCTTAACTGTTGCAGTATAACTAGAAGTTAAACCACAATTAAAATGATCCAGTTTGGTTCGCCTTGATGTCATTCACATACAATCAGAGTATAGAATTCCCCATCGTATACAGCAAGCTGCAGTTTGGATAACCCGAGAGAGTTGGGCATAATAAGTGCTAAAAAGATATGCCAAAAACCTACAATGAAATATTGCAATACTAGCTCCAGCAACTAGATGTCATGGCTAATAATCATAAATCTACCAAAATAGCAAAACGAGTGGGAGGCTTTTTGTACGCATCCAAGATCAGGTTCATCTCCCATCAGCATATTGATACAAACTGAGACATATCAATTGATTTGTTTGAAAAATTCCTTCATCACACTAGCAGCAAAATTCAATACAATTTCAGATATAAGAAATCTATAAAAATTACTTCACTAAACTATTTTTAAACTAATTCAGTACAGAAATTGCACAAGATCTTTTATTTTAAAGGAGAAGATTCAATTTGTCAAAAGAAACTAATGCAACTTTCTCCAATTCATTTATGTTCTGCAGTGCTGCGACCACAAGCACAAGCATGGACATGCAGGTAATAATACTTCACCACCTACCACGATTTTTTCGATCATCTTACCAGGCAAGGGTTGGGGAGTTTGATTTTTGTTTTTAAAAAGGTACTGTATTTTAAAGATCAAGGTCACAATTAAAACAAATTTATCAAAGGATATATCAAGATGAAATATATAATAAGCTAATTAAAAATTTCTTCTCCCAGAGAGTGAATAGTAAGTGATTTGGTAGTTGGGTATTCAGAAACACATTTATTAGCCAGGTTGAGGGAAATGTTGATCACTGATGAGGGATAAACTTATCAATATAGTTGGAAAGGCTTCCAACAAATTAGAGCAAAACACCTAAAAGTGACTTACAAAAACAGGATGCAGAAGTCTATTAAAGTCAAACAAAATGACTCAATAGTGGGTTATGTGGAAACTGTTCAATATTTTTATTTTCTTCATTGAAATAATCTGATTATGACAATCCAGCATCTTTAATGGTTAGATCTGGTATTAGACCACAAAATATCAATTTTATTGCTCAATTTTGAAATTTACCATTGATAGTCTTAGAATTTTAATTGGGTTGCTAGACCAGCACAAGCAGCATTTAACTACAACATCTACACTTCAGACTCTGTGTATTCCTCTTTCTCCATCATGTAATCATATTGATTAGTAAGTTTACAGATAACATCAAAATTGGCAGAGTTGCAGAGAGTGAGGAGGATTATCAAAGGATACAGCGGGAGATATATTACAGATTTGGGCAGAGAAATGGCAGATGGAGTTTAATCTGGAAAAACGCAAGGAGATGCATAATAGAATATCAAATTCAGGTGCGAACTATTCAATAAATGGCAGACCCCTTAGGAGCATTGACATGGGGCGGTGGAGGGGGGGTGGAATCTAAAACTAGAGGGTACAGGTTTAAGGTGGGCAGGGAAAGGTTTAAAAGGGATGTAAGGGGAAACTTGTTCACGCAGAGGGTGGTGCCCGTATGGAATGAGCTACCAGAGGAAGTGGAGGAGGCTGGTACAATTACATTTAAAAGGCATCTGGATGGGCATATGAATAGGAAGGGTTTAGAGGGATATGGGCCCGTGCTGTACATCTCTATGACTGACTATAAGAGGGATCTGGGCATACAGGTCCACACATCCCTGGAGGTGGAACTATAGGGGTGACCTGTACCTGGCTACGTAAGGTGGCTTGTACCTGAACACAATAAGTGGCCCATGCCTGCTTACAAAATGGCAGACAAGCTAAGCAAAACTAAGCACCCGACTCACACAGTGAAATACAATGGTACCTTTGAACAGAACTGCTAGAAGATCAGTAAAGGAACGCTGTATGCTCCCATCTGAGACAGTTCTGATAAAAGGATGCCTTAGAACAGATAAATGATCAATTTCAGCTTTGTTAATGAAAAGGTGTTTATCCAGTAAATGAATAATGTCGGGTGCTAGATTAGGTCTTCAAACAGCTGCAAGGATAACAACTAAAGTTATTTTGTACTAAATAACTTTGAAGCTACCATCAATATTAAATAGTTTCTATCTAAAAATGCTCTAATCATTGAAATTGGTTTCAATACACAACCAGGATATAATACAAGCCTCAAAGCAAAACACTTAAGCTTAGATGTAAAGACTAACTAGCCTTAGAAGACACCTTCTCTTCTGCCCTGAACAAGATAGATTGATCACAACCCATAAATTACAAAATGCTGGCAGGAGTAGTTGTATAACTTTATACTTATAATTAACCTTATAACAGAAGTTATCGTTGTAGCAGTTAGTAGAAACTGACTTTTTATTTTTACATTATGTAATTGGGACAGTGAGAAAAAAAGGAGTAACTGAATATGATAAAAGACAGCACCAAAACACAATGGGTATTAGAATTTGAGCTGTCCTTACAGATAAGGAAGCCTGAGAAAGACCCGAAGGAGTTATAGCCATTAAACATTTGGAATGCGAATCAATAGGTTGCATAGGAAGATCCCAAAGCCTAGAGATTACAATGTCTAGCTAATACCATAAGATCATGGGAACCTGGGGCTGTCCATGGAAATGCCTAATCTGATTAGGTGTCCCACAGGATTGAGTGTTTGAATTAAGGGGAAGGACAATAAGTACATTGTATTTGATTACTGTAACACAAAATGTATAAAAAATGCTGCATTTCTTTGTAAAAGCAGAGGGTGTCATTGATCTATCTTCCGAAGCCAGATTCGGGGCAAGATCCTTTGGCCCTCTCCCTGCATAAAACGGTTTCTGTTTAAATAAACATCTTCTACTTGCCCGAATCCTACCTGCCGCCTGACTCTTTGTCCCAGGTCGGGAAAAACGCTCTTACAGGAACACAGGTGAATAAAGGTGGTCAAGAAGGCATACAGCATGCTTGCCTTCATCAGCCGGAGCATCGAATATAAAAGTTGACATGTTACAGCTGTATAAAACTTTAGTTAGGCCACATTTGGAATACTAAGTGCTGTTAGTGTGGTGACCAGAACTGAACGATGTGGATGATTTAGAGAGGGTGCAGAGAAAGTTTACCAGGATGTCACCTGGTCTAGAAAGTGTTAGTTATGAGGAAAGGTTGGATAAACTCGGATTGTTTTCATTGTAAAGACAGAGGCTGAGGGGCTACCTGACAGAGGTCTACAAAGTTATGACAGGCACAGATAGGGTGGATAGTCAGAGGCATTCGCCCCCCCCGCCCCCCCAGAGTGGAAAGGTCAATTACGAGAGTACACAGGTTCAAGGTGAGAGGAGGAAGTTTTGGGGAGAAGTGCAGCGAAGATCTTTCACAGAGGGTGGTGGGTGCCTGGAATGCACTGCCAGTGGAGACGGTGGAAGCAGGCACATTAACAATGTTTAAGTGTATCTCAATAGACACATGAATAGGAGGTGAACAGAGGGATAGAAATCACGCATGGGCAATAAGTAGCAGGTCTAAAAAAGGATTAGGAATCAGCGCAGGCTGGGTCGACGAAAGAGCTTGTTCCTATGCTGTATTGAATTGTATTGCATTTTGCAACTGGAGCTCTGAATGTTTGCTTACCTACACTTTCCCCCCCGAAGAAATGTAAAGATTTCTCCCTTCTAACTCACTTAGTCACTTCCTCAAATGTTTCTTCTCCACTTGCTGAATGAAATACCTCCAAGAATGAAGCACATTGGACATTTTACTCTATAATGGGCACTGTATAAATGTAAGCTTTTGTAATAACAGTCAATGTTGGCAGATGGGTTACATTGCAAACAACTGAAAATGTGAAAATTCACAATAATTTACTTCCCGAAAATAGATTCAAACTGCTTAGAATAATGTGTTCATAACAAACTGGGAATAATTTGCTCAGATAACTGACAATCGTGCCAAATGTAAAGTGCCATACCGTTAAGGAATGCAACATTCGTTCCTTTTCTTGCAGCTGATTTTTCAAAGATTGAACTTCTGGGGCTGCTCCTTGGTTCTGTTTGGGGTCCAAGGTCCTGATTACCTAAAAGAAAATGGGCACTTATATTTATGCATATGTTATTTATTAATGTACTAATGTGTGTAGTCATAAGAAAAAAATACACAAAATTTTAGTCGTTCATGGAAAGCAGAATACTCAAAGATGATACTGCTAATAATAAATAAGTTCATGGCAGATTGGAACCATCGATAGCTACGTAAATCAAAACGTCTTAGACACTGTTCACTAAGAGCCCAACAGCCATGTTCCTGCCAGTTTCATTTGCGGATTCTACTGACTTTACTAATCCCTTTATCTCTCAAACGTTGCCTCCACATTGGCACAATTCTGTGGCTCAAAAGCTTTGCTCCTTCTGTCACAATACATACCATTCCTTTCTTCATCAATATGGGCTTCCCAAAAGGTCAATGCACATGTTACATTGCTTCAAGCAAATCTTCAGTCAGTCTTTGCAGCATCATGGTTGTTTGCCCTGCGTTCTTTGTCACCCACTAGTTCTGATAAAAACAGAGATAACAAGGTGTAAAGCTGGATGAACACAGCAGACCAAGCAGCAGAGGAGCAGGAAGGCTGATGTTTCGGGCCTAGACCCTTCTTCAGAAATGGATTTCTGAAGAAGGGTCTAGGCCCAAAACGTCAGCCTTCCTGCTTCTCTGATGCTGCTTGGCCTGCTGTGTTCATTCAGCTCTACACCTTGTTATCTCAGATTCTCCAGCATCTGCAGTTCCTACTACTTCTGATAAAAACATCTGCTTTTGGCAGTCATACATCATTCCAAAACAACCAATCAACATTCCTGATCATTAATTGCAGCAAACTTTGTTTTGACTGGTGCCCTATGAACTGGCACTCTTGATAAACCAGCGAAGTTATATATTTCAAATACTGAAAGTTTACTGTATTATGTCACAATCTCCACGATGTCTAAGTAGTCGATTAAGGTTGCAAGTGACAAAACTCTCTGCTGGTAAGGTTTATTTATGGCAAAGTTGCATTATTTTTTATGCTGCAAATAAAGTAAAAGAGTGATGTGTGTACTCCCTGCATTACTTAGTGATTTTTCATTGAATATGGGAACCTCTTGATCAACCAGCACACACCTGGTCCCATAGGTGCTGGTTAATAAAGTGTTTGCTATATCTCAGCTTCAGTGATGTCTCTGCAAACATGTTCTGTACTTCATTGTCAGTGATCTTGTCTCGTCATCCGTTATGAAGTAAGATACAGACGCATCTATTCACAGTAGTCAGTGATATATTATCTGAAATTATGTGTTTTTTCAGTGGTGAGGTTTGACTCACAGTAACACTGAGCATAGTTAATGCATTTAAAACAAAATTGGAATCAGAACCATTAAATATGCAGAGGTAGCAGTTTTAAGAGCCATGGCATTTGTCAAAATATGACTAGACATTTTATATTCCTAGTTATTTGACTTTCTTGGGAAATAGAAAAGGAGAAAAAAAAAGGAAGTAGTCTGTCAGCAGAACAATTTGCTACAGAGCTAAAATTTAAGGACACAGAATAGGGTTGTTAAGACAACAATCATGGAGTAAGAGGTAAGAAAAAGGAAGAGAAATGCTCCCTTCATGATATGTACTGCAAGTGGTCATAAGACAGAGGGGGAGATTTAAGGCCAGCTCAAGAGAAATTTGCAAAAACAACAGAGCATTCTAATGTGATTCTAATTACCCCAAAATCAAGTGGAAGAAAGATGTAGTCAGAGCGGGGAATGCCATTCAGAAAATAGCTGAAACCGGCTCCTCAATCAGGATGTTTTCAGTGTAACACAAAATGATTGCTTGATATCGTCAGGAGAGTGAAGCAACAGCTAGTTAAGATCAGAAAAGCATACTTGAGAAGATAAGAATAAGAATAAGTGTTGGGCTTTCTCTTAAATGATATAGTACTTTCGTGGTACTCAGAACAAGAACATCAACTGCATTCTTTTGTAACAAGTGAAAAATCAAAGGTTAGCATCAGGGCAGTGGATCAACAATGAGAAAAAAATCTTCAAATACAAAATAAGATCATGAAGTAAGTATATGCTAATAAAAGTGCATTTGTGTGTTGCATTGAGTGGGGCAATCAAAGAATAATACAATCCTGCATTATAAATAAGGGCTTTAAAGGAAATGGTTATGGGAGTATATAAGCCCATGCAAAGTAAAAGAAGAGTTAGAGCGTGAAGAACTGTTCAGGAATGAAGGATGGTTCTATTTGTGGATGTTAAAAGTACAATGGAAGAATTGGATATTTTGTGCTTCCGTATTTAGAAATGACAGAGTTAAAAGGTAGGCTTACTCTGAAATGATATGGACCTAATGTGGGAAATTACATTGAGAAATAATTATTCTGCAAGAATTAGATAGAAGAATAGATAAGCCACATGCAAATATTATCCTGCTAAATACCCTCATCTTAGCTGAAATTATAGTGGTCGAGGTTACTGACAACAGACATCAATTGGTGCAGCTCCAGGACACTGCTGCACAAGATCCTCAGCACAGGATCCTTGGTTAAACCATTTTCAACAGCTTCATCAATTATCTTCCATCTGTCCTGAAGTAAGGAGTGGAACTGTTCACTGACTAATAAATAAAACAAACTATCAGCCCATAGCAGATGTTGGACTAAATATAGAAGATGCACAAGACGAAAATGCAAAAGCAGGCCATTCAGCCAAGTGAGTCTATTCTGCCATTCATTGAAATCATGGCTAATCTGATAATCCTCCACTCCACTTTCCTCTTTCCTGTAACCTTTGATTCCCTCATTGATTAAAAACCTGTCTCTATCAGCCTTGAATATACTTAACAACCCAGCTTCAACAGCCCTCTGTGGTAAAGAATTCTACAAATTCACTACCCTCAGAAGAAATTCTTCTTCATCTGTATTAAATAAACAATCTTTTACTCTGAAATTGTGGCCTCTGGACCTGGATTCTCTCACAAGGAGAGCCAACCTCTCTGCATCTACCCTGTGAAGTCCTCTAAGAATCTTGTATGTTTCAATAAGGTCTTTCATTCATCAACACTCCCAATGAGTACCGACAGCTTTTCATAAGAAAATTCCCCCCCTTCCCACACCCAGGATCAGCCTAATGAACTTTCGCTGGACTGCCTCCTTTGTTGGTATATCTTGCCTTGGTCAAGGGGCCCAACTGTTCAAAGTATGCCAGTTGTGGTCTGACTAGTTCCACGTACAGTTTTAACAAGACTTCTCCACTTTTATACTCCATTCCCTCTGCCTTCTCTATTACCCACCAAACTTAGATGCTAGCTTTTTGTGATTCATGGACAAGGACTCCCTATGCTCCACAGCTTTTCAATGGTGATTCACAGTTCACAATTTACAATAAAACAATAAGAAAAAAGTATCAACCAACAACACCAACTGAATTAACTGTAATTTTAACTAATTTCAGGTAACCCTATAATAGACACCTTCATGAAAATTCAGGGAAATTATACTCACACTCTTAGCCTTTTCTAAGTACTTCTTGTATCGGTCCTCCATTTGTTTCATATCTTCATCTTTCTTTCTCAAGGCTTCTTGAAGCTCTTCAATTTTTTGAGCTATATTAAGCAGAAGCAGAATAGTTGATTTGCTTCATTAAATTGGTATGTGTGTACAGGGTTACAGCAATTTTTTAAAAAGCTGCTTGATCATGGCAATAATAAATTAAAAATTGAACAGCTGTACAGTCAGTACCCAAATAACTCAGACTAGTAAATAAATTACTACTATGCCAAATGATCAATAGGTATCACAACAAATGCTAGAATCAGGGAATTTATAAAATGTTAAAAACTGTTCTGATAAAGTAAGAATGATTAATTAAAATTATTAACGTATGGATCTATTTACAAAGTTAAAAAAGACTTACAGCTGTTATTGTATTTTGGTTCTAAATCATCAATGTAAGCTCGTTTCTTCTGAAGCTCAGTGTGGGCTTCATGAAGCTTCTCCCTGAAACATGTAACGTAATGATAGAATTTTAAGAATATTGTGAGGTGCTAACAAATCTTACAAGTTTATTTGAAAATTGGAAAACACGCCATTTTAGGGATTTTTCAAATATACGACAGACATTGGATAAGTGGAAGGAATGTTAACAAACTAAAGATGCTGATTGTACAACACACTTCCATACAAACTGTTCCCTCAGTGTCCTCTTTCATTTCGGTATATCTGCTGAATCACCTTGAGCACCTTTGCAGGACAACTGCTCATCTAATGCATTACATATGCATTTAATATCACTTTCTCACTCCAAATTATGCGATGTAAGGCCAGGTGTTGAATCCATTGAACTACAGAGCAAATAGAGTTCCCAGTCTTCTCTTCTAGAACTATTTACTCCTACTGTGTTATGCTAATACACTCCACAGAGAAAATAGTTCTGAAACAATCCATTGGTATGGATATATCTTGGGATGTTAGGATTTTACTGGATTATTAAAAATAAAGTGGTTTTAATCTCAGAATTTGCAAGATGGCAATCTATCCTGTGTAAAGATGTTAACAGCCTACTTAAAAAGGGAAACCCAATTTTGGAAGAAAGATTTTCATTCCACATTTTTTCTTTTAACCTAACAAACTACTAGTATTTATACTGCACCCTTAACATGATAAAACATCTCACGGTGCCCAACAGAAGAACTGAAAAGAAAAAAAAAAACCACATAAGGATCTATCAGGTGAGATGATCAAAAACTTGATCAATGAAGTAGATTTTGAGAAAAGTTTTCAAAGAGAAAACAAAGTAGTGAAGCTAAGGGGAATAGGAGGTAAATTCCAGAGCATAAGGCACATGCAAACAAAAGCAGAGTTTCCAGTTGCAAAGCAACTAGAATTCTGGATGCTCAGGTGAGTCAGAATTAGATGAGCATAGGCATTTTAACAGGATTCTGGAGCTGGGGATTACAGCGCTAATGAAAGGTAAGGCCATGTAGGGACTTGAAAACAGACAGAAGAATATTAGAATTAAGACGGCACTTGACAGGGAGTCGATGTAGATCATTGAGCATAGAGTCGATAGGTGAATGGAACTTGGGCGCAACCTAGGATACAGGCCACTCAAAAACTGCAAATACTTTCAGTTATAGCAGATCAATTACTAAGAGTGAAGTGCAGTGTAAATAGGAGAGAAAGGATTAGTGGGAGATGGTGGGTTGGGAAAAAACAGGTACCTTGTTTGTCCTTCCATGTAAAAGTCTCTAAAGATTTGTATTTCACACAGTCGGTGCATGTGTGGGATGAGCTGCCACAGGAAGTGGAGAAGGCTGGTACAATTACAACATTTTAAAAGCATGTGGACGGGTATATGAATAGGGAGGGTTTGGAGTGATGTGGGCCAAATGCTGACAATGAGACAAGATTAATTTAAAATATTTGGTTGGCATGGGTAAGTTGAACCAAAGGGTTTGTTTCCATGCTGTACAGCTCTATGACTACGACTAAGTGCTTTTCTTACACCGCATGTAACTTTGAGCGACCTTACAGACAATGAACCATTGCACAAAAGTACTGATTATTTTGTCTGACAGACATAAGATCTACAAGCCCTAGGCAATATACTTTGCTCAAATAAAAGCAAACTACTGCAATTGCTAGAAACCTGAAACAATACAGAAAATACTGGAACAGTAGTGACATTGAGTCTTTAGAACTGAAGAGTCATACCAGATTTGAAAAGTTAACTCTTTCTCTCGACAGATGCTGTCTGACCTGCTGAATTTCTCCAGCATTCCGAGTCCTTGTTTGTAATAAACTCTGCTCATAACATTAACAATGGACCATCTCAGTAATTTACAATTTTCACACTACAAGATTTCACTTTTGCCTCAAGCACATTTTGACTTTCATTGGTGATGCATTTAAATTCATATTATTTTAAATCATTGCTTCAGCTGATGAAATGGTTGGAATTATAGGTACGTCATCAACCAAAAAACATGCATTTGCCAATCTGTCAAGAGTGGAATGGAGTAGATGCTAGCTGGTTTATTAGCTTCCCAGATGAGCTGCCACATATAGGAGGAAATTCATCTAAGAGTCAGTATTCACAGCCCCAGATTTTGACCTTCAAATTACAGAAATATCCTATGAAAGGTTTCATTCATCTCCTACATGACGGAAAACATTTTCAATAGAAAATTTCCACAGCCTAATAATGAATATTTAAGAAGAGGAGTAGAAAAGAAATATTGTTTAAAATTACCAATGAAAATTAAACCATGATACTAATATCCAATTTGCCAATGATATCTAGTCAAATGGCATTTTTGACCTTTTGGTAAAAAATAAAGTACTTACAGATGTTCCTCCAGTTTCTTTTTCAGAAGAATTGACTGCAAAAAATATGAAAATATAAGACTATTATAAAAAGAATCAAGCTCCAAAAGCAATCCTATGTGAGACATAACCAAATACAAAATTTATCGATGAATTTATATAATAATAACTGTGTTCAAAGATTTAATATTTGTTTGATATTAGTACGTGCTAGCAGTTAGCAATGTAAGATGTTACTTAAATGAAGGCATACTCACAATAGCCTACAGCAGATGGTCATGCCAAGAAACAGAGATAATATGTTAGTAGGAAGCAAAAACACCAGCCAGCAGAAGAAACTCTTCAGTTACAGGTGAACGAGAAAAATTTAAGCCTCTTAATTTCTGGCACATTGCATGTTTTGTCTGTCTTCTCAGCTGATATGAGTAGTAGTTCCATCATCTCTCCTGATCTGGAGAACTTTATTCATACATATCTCTTAATATCCACATTGCTTTCAAGCATATGAGTGGCTTCCAGATTCCACACTAAAACACAAATGACATTTACAGAAATGAAACACACGTACAGGATGCCATTTCTGATCACCGAGGAGCAGCATCTGCGTTTCTGACTACAAACTGACAACAGAAAGGAAAATTTAAGGAGCTAATTTAATCTTTTCTAATGTCACCATTCAGGTTTAGAATCTAATATTTTGAAAAACCCTACGAAACCATGTGGAAAATTCAATGTATTTCTCAGGGTTTCATAAAGGGACTTGCTAGAGAATGTACAAAACTACTTTCTAATACTTATTATAAGCCTTTAGAATAAATTATGAAACATGTTGGAGTTGGGATGTCAAGTTGCGACATACGGGACACTGGTGAAGCCACTTTTGGAATACGGCATAGAATTCTGGTCACTCTTCTATATGAAGGATGTTGTTAAACTTGAGAAGATGCAGAAAAGATTTACAAGGATGTTGCTGGGACTGGAGGGTTTGAGCCACAGGGACAGGCTGATTAGTCTAGGGCTTTTTCTCCCTGGAGCGAACCTGGGGGTAACCTTATAGAGGCATATAAAATCATGAGGGCATGGATAGAGTGAATAGCCAAGGTCTTTTTTCCTAGGGTGGGGGAGTCCAAAGCTAGAGGGCATAGGTTTAAGGTGAGAGGTTAAAGATTTAAAAAGGACCTGAGGGGTAACCTTTTCATGCAGAGGATCATGCGTGTATGGAATAAGCTGCTACAAGAAGTGGAGGAGGCTGGTACAATTACAGCATTTAAAAGGCATTGGAATGGGTACATAATTAGAAAGAGGTTAGAGGGGTATGGGCCAAATGCCGGCAAATGGGACTAGGTCAGATTGAGATGTTTGGTTGGCATGGATGAGTTGGACCGAAGGGTCCATTTCAGTTCTGTATGACTTTATGTTCAAGGAAAGAATGGAAATCAATACTTCAATACAGATTCCTAATTAAGGGTTTGTTCTCTCAGGGCACAATTGTGTTAACTTGAGGAGCCCTACAGCTTTTATTCACATTGAACTAATGCCTACAGTACCTACTTTATCCATTGATGGTGTTGTAAGCTTGCTCTCGACCCACTCAGGCAGATTCCCAACTCAGTTCTCTCCAAAACTCAGGATCTCCTGCAAACAGTCCTAACTTAGAGGTACTTTCAATATTTATTTGAAAACTGCTTGCCTTCTGGTCTGTACCTCTTGGTAAGATTTAGTTATTTATTGAAGTATCCATGAGTCCTTGGTCATCGAAACTGAATGATGTCCTCCCACCACCAACACCCCCACCTCCCAAAAAAAATCTGTTTCAAAACTTTATTGATAGGTATTTGCCCCAAATTTGAAGCTCTGGGGAGCATATCTTTTTTATTTATGTACTAAAGTTCTTATGAGTCCCTGAATAATTGTGATATTTAATAAGATAAAAAGCCCTCCTTTTAAAAACTTGCCCAGCTCAAAAAATGGCAGATTCTTCAATACTTTCTACTTTCTTAGATAATTTATTTTACCCTGCTTGGATTTTGTGCTTGCTTGGCATTGTCCAGGATTGATAAATAAATTAGTAATGGCAATTGCAATTGTTCGTTGCTGATGTTTGCATCCCCAAAAAATATTTTCCTAATGTTTGAAACAGTTCCTTTTGGATTCGGGCACTAACAGATGTACTCATAATGCTCATTTCATAATGATTTCCATTAGTAGCATGAATACAGAACATGGATTATTAAATTCTTTTTGCTAGAATTTAACTGTAAGATTGGAGGTATTTAATTAATCTATCTGGAAGATGTATAAATTACAATAGGTAGGATGTCATAATTACACAATGGCTAGTGAGCATTAATGTTTCTTGTTTACCATCAATAAATAAACTGTTTTTACAAGTCAAAAATGTTTTACTAAAAATATCTAAGAGAGCAGTCAGTAAGTAATGATCTACAGAGTTTCAGATCCCAACCATTTTATGGGGTACTGCAGAACTAAAGCAGACATTAGACTGGCTGGGGGTGGGGGGGGGGGTGGTGGTGGTGGGTGTCAACGGTACTTATTCCATGTCATTCTCATAACCGATCAGTGGGATAAATGAAGTTGGGACTTTTGTAATGACGCAAAAGGTTGATGCTTGACATTGAGCATGACATTGAGCTAAAAAGCAAAGAAAATAAATTGAATATACAATTAAATAGCACAGGCAAAGGATTTCAAGCCATTTGAAAGTCTTCCTGTTAATGAGTTAAGCTCATTTTAAAACAATCCATGCAGCTTACTGAGCATGACATTGATGTATTAAACATAATTTTAGCACTGTAGGCGCACTCACATCTTCTGCTCTTGAGCCCTGATCTTGCAATGCCTTCTGAAGCTCTTCAACCTGAGACTGTATTTCCAAAATCCTCTGATTGGCTAGCCTTTCAGCAAACAAAAAAAAAATCAAAAGACATTTCAGTCCACAGAATCACAGAAGTGTTACAATGCAGGAGGCAATTCAGCCCATCTTGTCTACAATGGTTCTCCAATTCAGCATATGACTTAGTGCCATTCTTTTGCCTTTTCCTATACCCTTGCGCATTGCTTCTAAATAAATAATCGCTGTTTCATTTGCCTCAAACTGAGCCTGCCTCCATCATACTTCCAGGCAGTGTATTCCATACCCAAAATACTCATTGTGTGAAAAAGATCTTTTTCTCATGTCACACTTGCTTCTTTTGCATATCATTTTGAATCTGTGCCCTCTCCTTCTTGATCTTTGTATGTGTAAGAAAGCTTCTTCATATCTTTCTACCCAGATCTCGTGATTTTCAATGCTTCTATCACATCTGCTCTTAGCCACCTTCTGACCGAACAGAACAGTCCCAACCTCTCAAAGCTATCCTAACTGCAGTTTCTTGTCCCTTGTAAAAATTTTTGCACTTTCTCCAGTGTGTTCACATTATTTCTGTACTGCAACACCCAGAACTATGTGCAATATTCCCGCTGAGGTCCATCGATGCCTTATACAAATTCAACATTACCCCTTCCTTCTCCTTGTACTCTATGCTCCAGCATGCTTTAACAACTACTCTCGTGGTAGGATTTGAACCCATGCTCCCAGGACATTAGCCTGAGCCTCTGGAATACTAGTCCACTGACACCATCTTTCTATGCCACTATCTTTCCTTCACAGAGATCAGCTTTCACTATCTGCCATGATGGGATGTGAACCTGCTATGGCAGATGGCAAAAGCTATGCTCACACATAGATACAATTGCAAAACAAATATTCCTTCTCCCATTTGTCATTTGCTGCTTTTGGTTACCTGCTCCTTATGTTGTCATCAACCTTTGTTACCCCAACTCCCTTCACTGCTCCCTGTGGATTTTATCACCTCCCTACATCCTCTACTAATTCATCCTCCTTTGTTGCTCTTGATATTCTATCTCTTTCTCCTCTTTTGTCCAAAACATCTTGTCCCCTACACCTCCTTTGTTCTCCCTCATGAGCTCAGCCCAAACAATGATGGTAACGTTTTAAGCAGTATTTGATTATTAACTTCTTTGCAGCCAAATTCCAGAGGACAACATATTTTCCACAGAAGAAGGAATCTTAATTCAGTGTCTTTCTTGATTAAGGTATCCCAATGTTCTTCACAGGCAATAAAGCAACTGATGATACAAAGCTAAGTGAAAAAGTAGGCCATGGGGAGGACTGACACTGTGCAGGCAGTTAAAAAGGTTAAGCCAGTACGAAGAGGTGGCAGATAGAGTATAATAGGGAAACACAAGATTATTCAAATTGGTTAGAAGGATAGAAAACTATACTCGTCAATGAAGATCTATTAAATACCGGTGTTGAGGGATTTTGCGTGTCTTTGTATAAGACACACCAAGTTAATAAATATGTAGGTACAGCAAGCAATTAGAAACAATATGACAACTTATTGCAAGGGGCTGGAGTTTAAAAGTAAAGAAACTGTGTAGCAGTTGTACAAGGCTTTGGGGAGACCAGCATATTCTAGACCAGTCTTTGTTCCGAAGAAGTAAAGATATATATGCCTTAGGAGTACATTTGATTGCATCTGGGATGAGACAGTTGTAAAGTGACCCAAGACTGAGTAGAATGGGCCTAAGTGAGATAATCTAATTGAAATTTAAGACTCCTAGAGTGGGAGAAACGATGAAGTTATTTCCTGTAGCTGGGGAACATAGAATTGGGGACAATTTCAGGATAAGGGGCATTCATTTAGGACTGAGATGAGGGGAAAATTCCTCCCTCAGAGGACTGTGAACCTTTGTTGAATACATTCAACAATGATTGATAGATATCTGGACTTGAAAGGAATCGAGAGATGGGGTGATCACATGGGAAAATATTGAGCTTGAAGATCAACTTTGATCCTAGTAAATGGCAGAAGAGGCTTAAGGGGCTGTCTGGCCTGCTCCTTTGTCTTATGGCTATTTGTTCTGTTCTTTTTTAGAAACTTTTTATCTGTAACATCGTTCCAGGTTGGATAAATGCCCCACATCCAAAATGTCAACTATTCTGTTCCCACCTCAGACTGCCTGACCCCAAATATTTCTAGGCTGTTCTGTTTGTGCAATAGGTCTCTTCTCCCGTTTCCTCTTTACTATGTTTAACAAAGACAAAAAGCTGCTTTATGCTGTCACTAGTAACTAATTCAGTTCCATCATTTCCTGTATTCCTCAGTATAATTACTTAATATTTTCCTAGATACAACGTATTACGAGGATATACCAAACATGCCAAAATGTAACTCACCAGGTAATTTGACCATCTCCCTGCAACCAAACTTGTACCCTCTGCTGGAAATCCTTTACAGGCCAGAAATTGGTTATGATGGTAAAGGTTTGGATGCAGCCACAGCTCAACTACTCTAAATGCACCAGGCAAATGCATCACTTTTCCTCTGAAATCCATCTCAATTAGTCTCAGACAAATGTTGCTGAAATAAGGTTTTGCAATGGTTATGAAAGTATTTTGATTTTGAAATAAAAAGTGGATTCATCTGATGGATTAAAACAACAGCACAAAAGCACTGATAACTGCTGGAGTTCCTCAAGGCAGTGCCCTGGGTCCAACTATCTTCAGATGCTTTCTCAATCTCCTTCCCTCCATCATAAGGTCTGAAGTGGGACGTTCATTGATGATTCCACAATATTCAACACCATTTGAGACACCTCAGACACAGAAGCAATCTATGCCTATATGCAGGAAGATCTGAACAACCAAGGCTGACAAATAGCAAGTAACATTTACACACACAAATGCCAAGTAACGACCATCTCCAAACAGAAAAAATTTAAAATTGCCCCTTGACATTCAATGACATCACCATTGATGAATCCCCTACTATTAACATCCTGGAGATTGTCATTGACCAGAAACTGAACGAGTCTAGTCGTTTAAATATTGTGGCTACAACAGCAGGTTAGAGGCTACGAGTTCTGCGGCAAGTAACTCACCTGCACTTTCTCCCCAGTGCTCGTCCACCATCTACAAGCACAAATCCGGAAAGTGTTGGAATTTTCTCCACTTCCCTGGAGGAGTGTATGTCTAACAACACTCAAGGAGTCTTTGACACAATGCAGGACAATGCAGTCCACTTGATTGGAACCCTATCCACTATCATCAATATTCAGTCCCTTCACTATCGACAGTGACAGCAAGTGTGTACCATCTAGAAGATGCATGCTAACCTCTCCCCACGGCTTCAAATCTATGACTTCTACTCCCTCGAAGGCTAATGCATAGATGCAAGAGAACACCAAGTTCCATTCCAAACCTCAGACTATCATTATTTCCAAGTACAATAAATCTTTTGCATCCGCAAAATTACAAATGTGCCAATCTGCGCCAAAAACAGTAACAAAAATCAGCATCCTCAATTTTTGCACACGGATATTGATTTGTGTTGCGCATCCGCGATTTTTAAGTCTATTTTTCATCAAGATTTGTACTCATAACTGTCATCGTTTGTTGGATTTGTCAAGAATGGAGCCCTCTTAAATATGAAGGAATGACTGTATATCAATCGTATCAACACTTGCTGGGTCAAAATTCTGGAACTCGCTTCTCAATTGAACTGAGTGTCCCTACACTGATTGGATTGCAACAGTTTAAGACGACAGCACGCCACCACCTTCTCCAGAACAATTCTGGATGGGCAATAAATGCTTGCCTGGCTAACGATGCCCAAAACCTGTGAAAATGTTTTAAAAAATGCTTATGTTGCATCTCGCGTTAATACCATTTACTGAATTGGTATAAATAAATCAGTTTTGAGAAGTGTGCTACTATTATTTATTATAGCTAATCATTACTGAAACATTTCCTACCTATTCTCTGTTTCCAGTTCACTCTCCCTTCTGTTGGCATCCTCCAGCAAGCTTTGCAGTAGAGCTATCTTTTCGTTATCTGATCCCTCTTGGTTCAACTTCAGAATCTTGTTTTCATGCTGTAGCCGGATAAGTTTTTCCCTGGAACACAAATATAAAATCCACATAATAGCACTTTCTGTAACTTATTTCACAGAAAATATTCTACTAAGAAGCTCGAAAGACTAAAACTCTTGCCTCTTCCCACATTCTTATAATTCTTTTATATAATCCTGATGAATCACTTTGAACACATACATGTCCATTGTATATGGGAAAAAAATTAACCTATAAACTCTGTTGTAATAGTGACACTTTTTGGAAGAAAGAATCTGGAGAACTAATAAATTGTATAGCCAAATTCTAAAATAAGTGCAAGAATAGAGAGGCACGTGGGGGCTGGATCATGTACACAAATCTTTGAAGGTGGGAAGGCCAATTGAGAAGACATTTAAAAAAAAATACAAGATTTTGGGCTTCATAAATTAAGACATACAATACAAAACACAAAGTTAATGCTAAATCTTTATCAATTATTGTTTAGTTCTCAGCTGAAACATTGTCCAAGCTCTGGAAACTAATTGAAGGAAAGGGTGTAGGACTGATTTGCCAGAATGGTTTCCTGACTGAGAGACTTCAGTTATGTTGAGCAACTAGAGAAGCTGCTATTGTGCATCTTACAGCATAGAAGAGAACAAAATTAACTCTCCCTGGGATAGACATGGTTTGGTCAAAGAAAGCCAGCACTAATTTGCTGACAGCAAATTGTGTTTAACTAATTTGATTGAGTTTTGTGATGGATTAACAGATTAGGTGGAAGCAGATTCAATATGTAAAGGTGGTTTGGGAGGGGAATGCAATCAATATGGTTCGCAAAGGCTTTTGATAAAGTGCCACATAATGGCCTACCAGCAAAGTGAAGCATATGGATTATAGTGACCAGACCAGCATGGATACAAAGTTGGCTGGGTGACAGGAAGCAACAGCCGTGTAGGTGTTTTTTGTACTGGAGGAAGGCAAACAGTCAGGTTCCCCCGAAGTTGGAACCACAATCATTTCTTTTCTTGATCAATATGATGTAGACTTGGGAGCACTGGGCACAATTTCAAAACTTGCAGGTAATACAAAGCTTGGAAATGAACTACAAACAGACACGTGTCACACTTTAAGAGGACATAATCACATTGGTGAGAAACGGGGAAATGCAAAGCCGATAAACTTTAGCGAAGTATGAACTGATACGTTTTGGTAGGACAACAAGGAGAGGCAATATAAAGCACAGAATACAATTTTAAAATTAGTGCAGAAGTAGAGAAATTCAGGGCTATACATGCACAAAACACTGAAGGGGCAGGCCAGGTTGAGAAAGCAGTTAATTCATGTGAGATTGTATGCTTTATAAATAGAATCAGAGTGCAAATGCAAAGAAGTTGACAAAAAACATATGTAAAATATTTGATCAGGCTAAGCTGGAATATTGTGTCCTATTCCGGACACAGCACTTTCAGATTGATGCAAAGGTAATGGAGAAAGTGCAAAAAGATTTATGAAAACAGTTCCAGGTACGAGAGACTTATCACATGAAGCTGGTGCTATTCTGATGCTATAGGAGATTTACTCAAGCTGTTCAAAAGCATGACAAACCTGGAAGAGGTGTATAAAAACCTCTCTCATTGGTAGTGTGTCAGAGAACCAAAGGGCTCAAATATAATGTGAATGATAAAAGAACCAGAGGTGATTCCTGTTGATGATCTCTGAGGAATAGTCAAGGGACTCAAAACATTAACTCTGTACTCTCCCTGCAGATGTTGCCAGACCTGTTGAGTTCTCTAGCAATTTCTGCTATTTTGTTAAAAAATCTCCACCATCTGCAGTTCTTTGTTTTATTGTATGCAGTTATGTCATACCTCATTTTATTGCATTTCATTGTATTCTGAGAACTGAGAACTATAAAGCCTACAACTACCCTGAGAACTATAAATCGTTCGGATCAGGTCTTTTACAATTTATATCCACAAATAGTCCTGAAACAGCAAAAATAAAACCCAAGAGACTTCATTCAAGTTAGGGAAACAAATAGGATTGGAAATGAAGGTACACAGCTCATCAAATACAAAACTAATGAAATTGAATTTGAATACAACAGATTCATATTAACTTCTTCCAGGCCTATATTAAATCACATTACTCGCTTTTGGAAGAAATATATTATGATCATTGAAAAAATTAGGACTTTTATATACCTGATTTCAGGTGTGAGTATCTCTGCTGCTAAACTGTCTGATGCCTCTTGACTGTTGATTGGAATAAGTCCTATTGGAAATATAACACTTACTGTTATGCAGGATTCAAATACTAGCATTGAATCCTAAATAGCGTAGCAGACAATCTCAAGCAAAATAAAATAAAGCTTTTGCTACAGACCGGCTGAAAGTTGGCCTTGATGCACCTGAACACATCGCAGTTCTTCAATAGTTTCTTTCAAAGAATCTCTCTCGGTTCTCAACCTCTGCAGAAATATTTGAGTTTTAGATAGCTTAGAAATGACAACATGGATTCAGAACATTTTGAAACTTTGCTTACTGTAATTTAAAATAAGTTCAAGTACAAAAGTGCTTTTCAATCCTGGGCACAAAAGTTTCAACTTTCAGAAAACTGATGTCATGATTCAACTTTAAATGTTGTTTGTAAGAACAAAAATGTTATCTTAAACAAGCAAAACACACGCATAAAGTTTATAACATTTGTCCATGGTTTATCAAGGTAGATTTTCGTTTCAAATGAAACTCCGAAGTCAGAATTTCCTTCCAAAATCTAAAATGAAATTGAAAAGCAAACTTGCATCTTTTTCTTTTTGAAGAGTATCCACTTTTTCCTTTAATCTTTTATATTCAAACTCCATTTTGTCTGCCTTTTTGGACTCCTCGGACAACCTGTTTTGAAGCTCAAGAACCTACAAAGATAAAAATTGAATAGGGTTTAGAAATTTATTATTCAAAACACATTCCTCCAGTTATTTAGTGCCATTCGAAATACAATAACTGAAAAACCAAAGGGACAGTAACCGATGAAAATTCCCTAGTGGAATATTATGGGGAGACATCTTACCAAGTAACTCTCGATTGTTTACAGGCATTTCACAAATTTAGAGTAAACAAAATCAACCGAACTTAAAGACCTGAACTTTCAACATCCAAAAATATGCCTATAGATATCTTATTTACTTGAGGACATTATAATAACCACTGTTACTTAGCCATTTGGAAACTGATAAAAGGAAATGTTCAGAAAGTATTCATTTTTAAAGTACTTTATATTTTATTTTTATTTTATATCGTAGCTCATCTCTGATGAGCTATTGCACGGTTTTACTCCAGGAATGTCTTAGGGTGAAATCACTAAAATGCAACGAAGATTGTGATTTGGGCCAACCAGGGAACCAATATAAAGTCACCAATTCTGCAGAAACCTTTTCAGTGACTGGTGTTGTACATGACTCACCAACAGAATCATGGATATATTCTGCTGAAAAGAAATGGGTGCAGTAGAACACACCTAATTACTATAGCAGACGATCTAAAGCAAAATGAAGTAATGAATTTTGAATTTAAATTCCTACAGTATGGAAACAGAGCATTTGGCCCAACGGGTACACATCCCCCTACCCTATCCCTCTAACCCTGCATTCCCATGGCTAATCCACGTAAACTATGTATCCCTGGACACGAAGGACAATTTAGCATGGCTGATCCACCTGACCTGCATATCTTTGGACCGTGGGAGGAAACCCACACAGACACGTGGAGAATGTCTGTATGGAGTTTGCAGAGTCGCCTGAGGCTGGAATTGAACCCAGGTCCCTGGCGCTATGAGGTAGCTAACCACTGAGCCATCGTGCACCCTTTTGCTTTTGCTACAGGCCAGCTGAAAGTTGTCATGTTCAAAGGCACTTCCTAATTTGAAAGAAAAAGGCATTGTCCTTATAGTACTTCTGTTTGAAATAAAGTTAAATATACAGCTTTTTAAACATTTGCAATTATTGCAAATTTTCATCAGATTTATGAAAATAGAAAGAATAAAATGAACAATGGCATTAATGCTTACCGAATGATTGTAAGCACTTAATTCTTCTGGTTGATTTATGGACAATCTTCTCCTACACATTTCTGGTCTAAATACCAATTTGAGTAATTTTAGTTATATTAATTTCATTTACAGCAAAGATTGCAGGTGATGTAAGATAAGACTATCAGTATTTGAGGACTGGAAATTGTGATGTTTAGGGATGGTGACTGCTATACATCAGGAAAACAGTTCTCACAGCACTCCCTCATTACTGATCTGTTCTCTTTTCAGACTGGTAGGCTTGCTTTATTTTGTCCGCAATTTCCATTTTAGTTTCAGCTAAATACAAACTGAAAGAACTGCGGATGCTGTAAATCAGAAACAAAAACATAAGTTGCTGAAAAAGCTCAGCAAGTCTGGCAGCATCTGTGAAGAGAAATCAGAGTTAACATTTTGGGTCCGGTGACCCTTCCTCAGGGCTCGGAACCCAACTTCTGAGGAAGGGTCACTGGACCTAAAACGCTAATTCTCACTTCCCTTCATAGATGCTTGCAGACCTGCTAATCTTTTCCAGCAACTTCCGTTTTTGTGTTGGTGCAAAGTTGAGTACAATGCTTGTGGATCGGGAGGCCGGAAGTTAGAATTTGGTGTTTGTAAAATACGAAGGGGGAAAGTATTGCATGGTCCCTTTAAAGGATGATGCACTTTTTCTATGCTTAGAGATGTAAAATGGATGTCCGGGAGCAGCAGCTTGAAGGTTTGCAAGTAAACAGAGCACCCAAATTTAAATATTTCTATCAAAAGGCCATACAGTTAGCAGGCCAAGCGGCCATTCTGTTTTGTTACCAAGACAACATGTTTTTGAATTTAGCCAATTTGAAGCAGGCACTTAGATACCAAAAACCAATCAAATTTAAATTTGGTGGTTTTGACAACATAGGACCAATCCTAGTGTAAGAAACTGATATGTCATCAAGGGTATAAAAGAAGAGGGCAGATGGACAAAGACAGGAGAGCTAACTGCCATCTGCCAGAGTTAACATGCAAGAATCGCTGGCTCTCACAGTCTTAGAGAAAGCACCATCTAAAGAATAAAGGTACCCATGGCACAACTAGTTAATATTCCTGACAGAATAATTGATGGAGAAGGCGTTCCTGACAGAACATTCGATGGAGAAGTCACAGAACATTCCAGAAGACGCATAACCTGGCTATAATTTCAAGAGACTAAATTCTATGTTTTTGGTTATTTTACTTAAGTGAACTTGTATTTATTGGAACAGCACATCATTAGAATCTTGTTATGTTCGGAAATAGTTAGTCGTTAGGAGAAATTTATTCGTTGATTGTAGAGTGAATGTTAGGGATTTATTTTATTTAACCATTAGAAGTTGTTGAAAAGCAGCTTACATCACTTTTCACACTCCTTTTACAGATTATAGGGTGAGGTGCTTCTCTTTGGGTGTTCCGGTTTTAATTCTCAGACAGGGGGTCAACCTCCGCTTTATAACAGTTTCCATTTTAGTTTCATTTTGTTCCAGTTTATCTCCCATTTATCCATCATGTTGAAAGAAACATGCTTAATACGAATGACTACTCACTCCGATAATACTGACTAACCTGTTGTTTGTTCCAGGCTTTTCCATTTTTGTTTCTATACATTGCAGCATTTTACTTTGACTACTCATAAGAACATAAGAACTAGAAGCAGGAGTAGGCCGTCTGGCCCCTCGAGCCTGCCCTGCCATTTAATAAGATCATGGCTGATCTTTTTGAGACTCAGCTCCACTTACCCGCCCACTCACCATAACCTTTAATTCCTTTACTGTTCAAAAATTTATCTAGCCTTGCCTTAAAAACATTCAGCGAGGTAGCTTCAACCTCTTCACTGGGCAGGGAATTCCACAGATTCACAACCCTTTGGGTGAAGAAGTTCCTCCTGACCTCAGTCCTACATCTGCTTCCCTTTATTTTGAGGCAATGCCCTCTAGTCCTAGTTTCACCTGCTAGTGGAAACAACCTCCCTGCCTCCACCTTATCTATTCCCTTCATAATCTTATATGTTTCTATAAGATCTCCCCTCATTCTTCTGAATTCCAATATGAGTATAATCCCAGGCTACTCAGTCTCTCCTCATAATCCAACCCTCTCAACTCTGGAATCAACCGAGTGAATCTCCTCTGCACCCCCTCCAGTGCTAGTATATCTCTTCTCAAGTAAGGAGACCAAAACTGCACACAGTACTCCAGATGTGGCCTCACCAGGACCCTGTACAGCTGCAGCATAGCCTCCCTGTTTTTAAACTCCATCCCTCTAGCAATGGCAGACAAAATTCCATTTGCCTTTTTAATTACCTGCTGCACCTGCAATCCTACTTTTAGCGATTCATGCACAAGGACACCCAAGTCCCTCTGCACAGCAGCGTGCTGCAATATTTTACCATTTAAAACATAGTCCATTTTCCTGTTATTCCTACCAAAATGGATGACCTCACACTTATCAACATTGTACTCCATCTGCCGGACCTTTGCCCACTCACTTAGACTATCTATATCCCTCTGCAGACTTTCAGTGTATTCTGCACACTTTGCTCTACCACTCACCTTAGTGTCATCTGCAAACTTTGACACACCACACTTAGTCCCCAACTCCAAATCATCTACGTAAATTGTAAACAATTGCGAACCCAACACTGATCCCTGAGGCACACCACTAGCCACTGACCGCCAACCAAAAAAAACACCCATTTACCCCCTACTCTTTGCTTTCTACTGGTCAGCCAATCCTCTATCCATGCCAATACATTACCTGTAATATCGTGCAACTTTATCTTATGGAGCAGCCTTTGGTGTGGCACCTTGTCAAATGCCTTCTGGAAATCCAGATACACCACATCCACAGGTTCCCCATTGTCCACCATGCAAGTAATATCCTCAAAGAATTCCACCAAATTAGTTAAACATGACCTACCCTTCATGAACCCATGCTGGGCGTTCCCAATGGGACAATTTATATCCAGATGTCTTGCTATTTCTTCCTTAATGATAACTTCAGTAGTGGGGGAAATGCTTGAATCTAAGCTAACTGGCCTATAGTTACTGCTTTTTGTCTACTTCCTTTTTTAAACAGTGGCGTCACATTGGCGGTTTTCCAATCTGCGGGAACCACCCCAGAGTCCAGTGAATACTCCTAATATTCAGATCTTACCAAGAATGTTACCTTTTACATTTTTTGTACTACTTCAGATATATCTGTTTATTGTGACATTTCATGAAAAGTCTTTGATTAGAAATTCCTTCAACATTATTCTGTAATTACATACCTGTCTCTTGTATGTTTCCAGTTGGGCTCGTGCAGCATTTGCTTTTCGTAACTCCTCCTCTAGACTGACTGTGTTCTGCATGTACATCGTGTTCTTTTCCTCAAGAAGCTTCACCTGTCGACGCAAGTCACCCAAATCTTCCAGCTTCTTTTTATATGACTCTACCATGCCCTCCAACTTACTCACTTTATCAGAAGAGTGCCTAGAAGAAAGAACTTGGATTTACAGAAAATCTTGCACACCTTCGTAACGTACAAAAATGCTTTACAGTCAAATAGTTCCTTTAAAATCTAAGTATCTAAACTACTATGTTCAAACTTTAATATAGCTGTTCAAACAATTGGCAAATAAAAAAATTGTCTAGACATCAGATAAATGATTGGAGGTGACAAAGCTGTATATCATAAGAGACTTGTATAAACTATTTAAACCAGAAAATATGCAATAAAGAAACTTTAATTACGCTGCTAAGCAGAGGATGAACTTATCCTGGAGGTAACATTGATTGTTTAAGTGTATATATGGATTATAGAATATTAGATGATGTACTAAATGAAATTTTGATGGACATCTGAAACAACTTCAAGCGAGGACTGAAAGCATAATCAGGTATTCACAGATTATTTTCTGACATGTTCAAGTTACTTGGGTAATTCTGTTGTTGGATTTTGTGTCAAGCAACTCACAAAAAGATTTCTGTAAGCATCTAAGGAGAAGTAATCATTGTAATATAGGGATTGACAGTTACTTTAGTGAGCGTTAATAATGGAAAAAAATGAAACATAAGCCTTCTAAAAAGGCTCAAGCAATAAGGGTCAACAAACAATAGTTTTTAATTCAAGAATTTCCAAGCAATGTACTAAAGGTCAAGGGAAACACAAACAAGAAAAATCTGCAAGGAAACTAAGATTTGGCGGACAGAGATTGTTACTAAAGGCAACTGAAGAATTAGTGTATTTAAAAAAGAGACCTATACATCAAAAGAATGAGAAACAGGAGTCAAATTTGATTACCTAAGCACATCCATCTCATCCTTCAAAGACTGGGCTTCTTCTGCAAGACTAGTAAGCTCCTCATTCTGCTGTCGTAATTCTAAAACTTCTTTTTCAAGTTCCTCACATCGAATCCGATAATCATCTTTTGCTGCTTCCAATCTGAAATTCACAATCATGTAAAAAGAACATCAAGATACAAGTCTTTGCAAAGACTTGCAAATATCCAGTTAGAGTATTGCAACAACTTAATATTACTACAGATGATTCAATGTCTTGCACGTGTCAGCGAAATAAAATGGAACTGTCATTGTCATTTTTTTGTCACAGCATCACATGCATATTGATTCAAAGATATTAGGTTTTAAAGAATTAAACATTTCTACCCTCCAGTGACAGCAATAAATAAGTCCTTACTTTATAAACAGTTAAGCAAATAAACTTTAAGCTGGCAAGAAACCCCAAAGATCAAAAGATCCCACAGTTTTAGTCGGTCAACTATATCTAAATTAGGCAACTGCACCACAGCTGGAGGTAACCCTATTGTTTGGATCATGATGGTGGGAGGGTTGCAAAAAAATTTCCAGAGTTGTTAGTTTCAAGTACCCTTTGTAAGATCTGTGACCATGTTCATGGCCATCAGTCTGCTGTGGCACCCTCCACCATGAACAGTGTTCATATATTCAGGAGTATTGTGAGAAACACTGATTTCATGACAGTGAGAACCCCAGGATTACTGAGAAAGGAGCTCAATACTTCATATATTTGAAATGTGATTAATTTTGTTAGTAATACCTAAAAGTCTCTTCTTGTAGTTGTTCCAACTGAGTTTGTAATTGAAGGTGTCTACGTCCTGCTGGGCTGTTCGGATCTTCAATAGAATCAGATTGGTTGAGGCGCTCCATAAGAGCTTGGTTTTCTACTAGTAAACTGCCTTTTTCTTCTTGTAGAGCTGCAACCTGTACCAAGTAATGGAAAATAAAGTTGTTCTTTGATAAAGATCATACAGAAAATCTAAGGTCTGCTATGTATTTCCTTCTAAAAATACTTCACAATAATTAAAATCAATACGTCAATAACAACTTGCACTTGTATAGACTCTTTAAAATATAAAAAAATCCTGAAACCCCTCTCAAAGCATATGAAGATAAAAAAACCAAAACAAGAGAGATTAGCACTGGAAACTAAATGTTGTCAACGCATTAAGGTGCATCATAAAGGAGGAACAATCAAATGGTTTTCAAAGGGAAGTCCTGAACTTAAGGCCAAGGTGGTCTGAGGAATTCCTGGCAAGTCACCGGTTCTACATTACTAAAGGATTTGTGAATTGTGACCATAATCCCATCACATTTAAAACTGCCAGTGACAAGAAGAGGTGGGACTCTTAGCATTTTCCAGTTTATAGTGTCACTAGTTCTCTATCGAAAAACCTTCATTAAAATGATAAATACAAGTCTGTCTGCACTGCCATGCTCTGGCTGGTTTCTCAGCAATTTTGCCATCTGACAGTCTACTCTGGCAGACATTTTGTTAAAAGGTGAGTTGGGATTTCTTTGCTTCAGTTTTTTCCCCAAGACACGAAAGCTTTCAATTTTAAATAGGTTTGGCAACCTGAAATATGTTTTATATATAATCAGGACAAATCTTAATGTTACAAGAGCTTCTTTCACTTTCTCTCACCCCTACTCGTATGCACCCATCCAATAACCTGTCTCCCGGTTGTTCTCTCCAAGGCCTTTATTCCCACATCATGTTAGGAGCTAATCTGTAATAGCAATTAACACCACAATCTCTCACTAAACGCGTACCATTACCTCAAGTAATAACCCATACAAAATTCTCTGTCACTCCACATATATATCTTCAGCAATCCAGCAGTAAATTAGAAGTTTTTTTTTAAGAAAAAAGTGCACATTACTTTTCAGGTGTCTACTAAGCTCCCTTTCAAACATCAGTGAGATATCTTTAATACAAGTTTGTAAAGCTACCCAGCCTTCCCCTATTCTTATCGCAATGGCATATGTTTCAGCTCCCTCCTTGACCTCAACTCTCCCTACCTCCTTACCCTACAACAATCAGAGAACTACGTACTCCTCCAATTCTAGCCTCTTGTAATAATTTGACTGTAAGCAATAGCTATGGTTTCAGCATTGAATCCAAAAGCTTGAGACAAATACAAGGAATGCTGCACTGATTCAACAAGTCTGGCAGCAACTGCGGAGAGAGAAACAAAGTTAATGTGTTGAGTCAGGTATGAATGTTCTTCAGAACTAAGTTCCCTGGGGTTGTGTTGACTTTAAATTCCCTCAATTTCTTCAATATTTATGAATGATAACTCCAAATTCATCCTTTTGCTGGACTCCGCTATTTTTAGAAGTATTTGGAAGTAGAAATTTCATTTCTATTTTCTTATTCCTTATTATAATATCTCCTGTTTCTGCTTGTAAGAGACCTTTCTTTGCTTTAGCTAATTTCTTTTTTGCATACATATTTAAACTTTTACAATCTGTTTTTGTGCCTCTTGCTAGTTTGCTCTTGTATACTATTCTACCATTTTTTTGATTATTATTTGCTAAATTCTAAAATTAGGATACATCAGGTGCACTACTCTTTTTGGCAATTTTTGAAGCTTTTTCCCCTAATCTTATACTATCCTGAACTTAGAATCATACAGTCCCTGCAGTGTGGAAACAGGCCTAACAAGTCCACACTGACCCTCCAAAGAGCATTGCATCCAGACTCAGGCCCATCCCCCCTACCATATTCCTGTAACCCTGCATTTCATACAACTAGAACAGTACAGCTGTTGTGCCGAACTTTTACCCTAACCCTAAGGTCTCTCTAACCTCCACCCCATAGAACATAGAACAGTACAGCAAAGTACAGGCCCTTCGGCCCACGGCTAATGCACCTAACCAAACATCTCTGAATACTACGGACAATTTAGCATGGCCAGTCCACCTAACTTGCATATCTTTGGACTGTGAGAGGAAACTGGTGCACCTGGCGGAGCCTCACGCAAAAACTGGGAGAACATGCAAACTCCACACAGACAGTTGCCCAAGATTAGAATCGAATCCCGGTCCCTGGCACTGTGAGGATGCAGTGCTAACCACTGAGCTACTGTGCTGCCCTCTAATAACTTCTGTTATTATCCACAGTTGGACCACTTTTCCTTCTTTTTTAAAAACCAGCTGCATTTTGTTGAAAATGATGAATGAATTATTTGAGCTTTCATCAAATAGCTACAATAGTTTCTTGTAATTTAATCCCTAATCTATATTGGCCAACTTGTTTCTCATAACGTGATTTGCTGTACTCAGATTTATAATTCTAGTTTTGGATTTAAGTTAATTCATCTCAAACACAATGTAAAATTATATTGTGATCACTGTTTTCCGAAGGTCCTTTTACAATCCTCATTGCACAGTATTAGATTTAAAATAGGTTGTTGCCCTGCTGTTTTACCTTACTGATCATACCGATCTAAACTACCCTACAACATTTTATGAACTCATTCTTTAAAAGTATTTCTACAAAATTTGGCTTTCCTAGACTGTATGAAAATTGAAGTGCCCTATGATTTAACATTGCTACATTGATCTCTAATTTCCTGATTAATAGCCTACCTGACAATATAATTACTGTGAGGAAGCTTGTAAACTACAGCAACCTACGCTTTCTATCTTCTTTCCTTAGCTCAACCCAAACTAATTGTCTGCCATGAGTTTCCAAATTAAGGTCTTTTCTTACTGCAACCACTATCTCATTTTTTTATATCAGGGCTACATCCCTCTTCTCCTTTTTCAAAATGCCTATCTAAAAGTCTAGTATCTGGAATCGTTAGTTCCCAACCTTGATCACTCTGTAACCACATCTCTGTAATAGCTACAAGAACAAACCCATCAATTTCTAGCTCTACAAATAATTCATTGATCGTGTTGCAGATGTGTTGCACAATGATCTTTTTCCTGATGCCACTATGAAGTTCTTTGAAGATGAAAGCAACGTATTTATGGAAACAAAACTGATCATATATTAGGAACTGTGTATTCAGAATCCCACTGTTACTGGTACTCAAATATAAAACAGCAAATCCTCTGAATGAGGAGAAATACAAGTGGAAAGGTAATATATTACCGAATACTGTCAGTAAAATTATGTAAACATCTGCCTGTGGGATTTTCCATTTTAAATATGTTCACACTTATCATGAGATTTCTACATAACCATTTTCCTGTGTCACTCATTTTATATTATGCGATCTTTTCAATTAATGTCAGTGACTGTAGAATAGTTACTATACCAAGCATTTAGAATATTGTGTGAGCTAAGCAATGTCTTGTCTATTTACTTCAGCTTGATGTTTGAGGGATTAAAGTGAACACATGATTAAAGCATGCAGACATAAGCAAATTTACATTGCTCCAAGCCTGCTAATTTGCTGTCAAAATTGATGTCAATTTTAAGACCAAACAGACCACTGATGAGGGGACAACAGATGGGTTCACTATATGTCAGGTTCGGCACTAAAATTTTAACAATCCTTTGCTTGGGCCAAGTCTTTTGCTGTTTTTGTCTTATATTTCCACCTTTTAAGTCCGCTGCACTTCAGAATGTAAACAACATTTCCTAAAGTCTACAATTGGAAAAAAAAATTCCTTATTAATCTTCCTGCCATGCCTTCTTCCAGATTTCCTATGCTGTAGCTTTCTTATGCCATACAATAATAACATCAACTAGTACTTGCATTGTACCTTTGGTACAGTAAGTTGTCCTACGTTAGGACTAATAAGTGTAATCATACAAATAAATAACTTCAGTTAATGAATGAAATATTAGAAAATGTGATTAAAAGCTTGAACAAGATGCAAGTTTAAGTAAAAAGAGAAAGTGCTGGAGAAATTCAGCAGGTCCGGCAGCATCTGTGGAGAGAGAAAAAGAGAGTTAATATTTTGAGTCCGCTATCAGAACTGATGTTTCTCTCTCCAAAGATGTTTCCAGACCTGATGAATTTCTCCAGTACTTTGTTTTAATTTCAGATTTCAAGCGCTCACAGTATTTTGGTTTTAGTTGAGGTTTTAGGGAGTATTTTGAAGGAGATAGGCTAGAGCTTTAAAGAGAGAGTTGGGTGTCTCTGGTTAAAAGTATTGTTGCCAATGGCAAAATAAAAAAACAACCCAGTCATAAAGCATATTAATGAATATTTAGGACTAACGTTAAGAAAAAGACTTTGAGACAGGATTGAATAACTTGTCATTCAAGGTAATGAAGAAATGGACTTTGGCATTCACTTAATCAGTAGACGAGGAAAGAGGGAAAGCAGAGCTATGCTTGGTGTACAATATAATCACAAAAACAGATCAAGCATCCTAGATCATGGGTCAAGTGCAGACAAAATTTAGGACAGAACTCTACTCCCTTTTCCTGTAACAACATTGGCAGAAAAGCCATTGCCAAAGTTGATAAACTTGATCTTGCTTTGGAAAGTATTGAAACCAGAGAATATTGACATATAGAACAGAACTCTCAACCAAGGGTCCACATGAAGATTTCAAGGAGGGCACTGTTGTTGTATACTGCTTCCTCGTCATAGATTATCACAGTTTGAGATACATCTGGAAGATTTGTTGCTACAATTTTCTTTCCTGGTAGGGATCTACAGAGTTTATTTTATCTTGTGAGATACAAGAAAACCTTTTGGTACTTTAACAACAATTAGATGTTAGAGATGATGGTGCAGTGGCCAGTACAGTCAAATGTTAACAGGGTAGGGGAGTTGATGGCCTAATGGTATTATTGCTACACTATTAATGCAGAGAACCAGAAAATATTCCGGGAACCCGGGCTCGAACCCTGCCATGGCAAGTGTTAGAACTTGAATTCAATTTTTAAATTAAAAGTCTAATGATGACCGTTGTCAACTGTTGAAAAAACCTATCCTTTAGGGAAGGAAACT